GCAGTCAAGAGAAATTAACCAATGAGTGGATGGCAGTAATTTAATTGCTTAATTTAGAGTTTTTGAGACTGTTTTGCTTCATCATCTTTCCGATTTTACCCTCATTTGGCACCTCATGTTATCATCAGTCAGAATTTAAATGAAAATGTGGTTGATTGCCAAGTTTTTGTTATATAATGTCCAAAATATAAACACAGTGAGAGGTCAAATGGAAAACTAAGAGCAAGTATTACAAATAAATCAATAAAATACAACTACTTTTTAAATAGCTAGTATAAAAGAAATCATACAATACAAAATAAATGTATTATTAAAAGATAAAAAGTACAGAAATGTTAAATAATCCTATGAATGGAAGAGGAGTAGTGTGCAGAGATATAGTCCCAAAGACTATCACCCAAAATCAACATTTTCAGTTGTTTTTTTATTAACTTTTTCCATTAATTTCTCTCTGAAATTACACCAAAAATACATAGTTTTTACGTAATTGATCAAGTCTGGACGTTTCCCCTGTCCCTGAAGGTGTGCGCAACAACGTTTTGAATTTCACAAACCGTATCTTTAAATGTCGTTTTCTTAATATATTTCAGGAGGACGTGACGAAGCAGTGGCTGGTGAGGAAGCAGCGCAGCCAGAAGACCGGTGAGTGCGTTTCAAAGTGTCTGAGTAAAAAGCCACGCATAATTAACGTCTCCTGATGAAAGGACAAACCTGACGAGCTGCTTTCCTTCCAGCTAATCAGGATCGACGAAAGGCTTGTGTGTGAAAGTGATGATTGTAATGATGTCTTTCTTCCTGCAGACGCTGCACGATACATCCCCCACAACGGTGAGTAGGAACTGTCGTGAAGGAGGGATTATCCTGAAATTAAATCACAGCGACTGGAGTTACGTGATCTTAAATCATCCGTATATCACATTATATTTACCCTAATAATGTGTTAAATAATGCACATCTTTAGGGATACATCTCTGCACACTACTCTCCAACATTGGTTATTGTTATTTATCATTGAGGCAACACCTTTAAATCTTCAATGGTAATGTAGATATATTTTACGTGTTTTTTTTCATAGTAATTTGTCATATTTTATTGTATTTTTTGCTATATTTATTTATTTATTTTGTATATAACAGGGACAGTGCACATTAATGAACATTTCTGTAAACGTGCCAGAGTTAGCCAAGAGGCTATTTTTCATCTGTAGTCCCTGGACAGATTTTAAAAGTCAACCTCAAACACATTTCATTTTAAACAAGTAAATAGAATACATTTAAAACATGCAACAGACATTACTGGGATACTTAATAAAACAATTTGAAATACAGAACATTAAAACAAACAAAAGAACATGTTTAAACACAGGCAGTGGGTTGTACGGAGCAGGAGATTGGGTCAGTGTTGGCAGAGCTGATTCCTCACTAACCAGGTTTTGAGTTTTGATTTAAATAAAGTGAATGTGGTCTGGTCTCTGATTGGAGGTGGGGATTGAGTTCCATCGCTGAGCAGCTTTATATTAGGATTTATTTTACACTTGTTGTTTTAAGTAGTATTTGTACTTTTTGTATTTATTAACATTTTCTTTCAATATTTGCACTTGTTTTTCCATTGTAATGTTTTTTTATGCAGCTTTTTACACCAAAACTAGGCAATAAACAAAATGACGATAATATGAAGTGGGCCAAAAACCTCCCCTATGGTGTATATATATATATATATATATATAATATATATATATCACAAGGCAGGTAGTTATTAAAACAGCTGGTGGTTGATTTATTAGTTAATAACTCATCTTTGCAGCTACACGCGTGTTTGAAATGTTGAGAGTATAAAACATATTTATCATTCTCTTGCTTTAAAGACTTCTTCTCTTCCTTACAGTGTGGAACTGGATTTGTGATGCTGCAGGTAAGAAAACACTTTAAAGCAATCTGTGTGCTTCAAATGAATCTGTTTAAGGTATATAATAATAATAGTAATAATAAAGTCAAAACAAAAGTCCCAAAATAAACCACTTTTATAATGATATTAAAATAAATCAAACAATGTTGTGTATTTTTAAAGCTGCCACTACTACTTTTTTTAAATTTGCTTTACATTTTTAACACCAAGAAAGAGATTTATATTAGATTAGGTTCAACTTTATTGTCGTTTTGGCAGGGTACGAGATTGTAGTAAGCATCTAACAAGGAGTGCAATATAGTGCATGATGTTACTATATAAAATACAGGAAGGTTCAGTATGTACCACAGCAGCGGGTCCCAACCTTTTTCAACTCAGGGCCTTAAGAATCTAAAAAATGTTCACGACCAACATTCAACCATAAACAATAGGGAGGCTAAATAAAGTTCTGATTGGTCGATTCAGAACATGTGACACGTTGTTAATCCAGTAGAACAGACCGTTGCTAAGGACTGTAATGACCGTTGCTAAGGACTGTAATGACCGTTGCTAAGGACTGTAATGACCGTTGCTGAAAGGACTTGTAAATGACCGTTGCTAAGGACGATCAAGAAAGAGAAAGGAAAGGAGGTTCGAATAAAAAGAAATCTTAATAATGAAAATGTTTCCACACAAATCAGAATGTTTTGCAAATTATTTGGCGGCCCACTTGCAATGCGGCCGCGGCCCACAGGTTGGAAACCGCTGTACTACAGCATTAGTAATGCCCATAAATGTAAATATCTTAAATACACAGAGGATACGTTTTATTTATTTTTTGTGTTTCCTCCCACAGAGGAAGTGAAGCTTGACTCGGACTCGGCGAACCCGGACCTGATAATCTCCAGCGATGATAAACGGATGCGTTGCGGCCTCGAACATCGAGACGTCCCTCGGTGCCAGTGGCGCTTCAACGGCTGGTGGTGCTCCGCGGGCCAGGAGGGATTCACCTCGGGACGCCATTACTGGGAGGTGTGTGGCGGGAATCTATTTATCAAACGTGAATAAAGAATTAATCATCGAGGTGGGAAGTAGTGGAGTACAAATACTTTGTTACTGTACTTAAGTACATTTTTCTGGTATCAGTACTTTACTCCACTACTTATTTTTCTCTGACCACTTTTTACTTTTACTTCTTACATGTTGAACACAAATACCTGTACTTTCTACTTTTTCACTACTTTTTATTTTGTATTTTTGTTACATGTTGGATTGTTGTAGGAGCCAGCTCAGGTCAGAATAATTTCATTGCCATTTCTACACTGTAGCTTTGTGCATATGACAATAAAACCTTTAAAACCTCTGAAATTGAAATTTGAGATTTGAAAATAAACATTAGCAAGTAAGAATCACACAGTGAATGTCCTCTTCCAACCTGAGAGTAACATGATAACAAAGGTATCCCAACTGTAGCTGTGAACATGACAGGATGTGTGATTACCTAGAAGAGCATCAGGACTGTTTGAGGCAGATGATAGCTCTGTGATTAACATGATGATTCAGCCTCTATGGAGATAGACATCAAGCATGCTCATTTCTGACGTGGAGCTAATCTGAAGTAAACATTGAATACTGCTTTCTATTCCTCCATCTTGTGACTGGGTGACTCCCTCTCTTGGATATCAGCATGTGAAGGACACTGCTCAGGAACTAGTTGATGCTCTGTATGTGATGACTCCTTCCATTCTGGAGAGGATCACAGATACATGGATCCTGAGGTTGAAGCTCAAGCCGGGGACCAGGGATGTTTTTCTAACATAAGTAAATGAGAATAATATTTTTCTGTTACAGGTGGAAGTCGGGCAGCGTGACTGGAGGCTCGGCGTGGCGAAAGCGTCCGCGGTGAGGCAGGGTTACCAGACTCGCTCACCACAGATTCGGGATATTTAACCCTCCGTTCTGGAGAGGGGTTTGGATCTGAAGGCGCTGACGGTGCCCGCGACGCCCCTGACCCGCATCCCACTGCCCAGGAAAGTGGGCATTTACCTGGACTACGAGCAGGGCCAGCTGTCCTTCTACGACGTGGAGAAACGCTCGCACCTTTACACCTTTCAACGACACGTTCACGGAGGAGCTGTTCCCCGTTGTTCGGGACGGTGGAGGTGGTCAACGATCTGGTGATCCGGCCTGCTGACGTCCGGCAGCCGTGCCTCTGCACCGGGCCCTGCCTCTGGACCTGAAACCACCAAACGCTTTTTATTGTGCTTTGATTCTGCTGCTAGCGAATACGAAAACTTGTGCGCTGGTTTTGGACTTAAGGAGCGTTCCCAAAACAAACTAATTAACATATTTTGCAATGGTCTAATTGTAATGAACGTATCAAAAATGATCCTGAAATGACTCGGACTGATACCAATTAGTACATACAACGATTTTAAGCGAGTGTGTCCTCAAGATGGCAGGGGAAAAAAAACTTCAAAATATTTATGAATGGAGGTTGGCTGCTATTGAATACGAATCTTGATGGCTGGTTTTGGACTAAAGGAGCGTTCCCAACGGACGCGAAGCGAAGATTTGGCTTTGCTTTACTCGCAGAAGTTGGAGCTGCGGCATCATTTGTGGTTACCAGCGTCACAACAACAAATAAACATGATTTGCAGTGATTTTTGTTGTAATACATGTATCAAAATGATACCGAAATGACTCGGACTAACACCAATTACATACAATGATTTAACGAGTGTGTCTGCAAGATGGCAGGGGGATCGCGGTTGGCTGCTAGTGAATACGAATCTTGTTTTTTTTTTTTCGGATTAATGCTGCGTTATCCCTCTGCATGGAACCGTTCAACTTAACTAGCTTCAACCTTTTTTAATATAATACTGACTTCTGATTAGCAGCCGAGTTCCAAATCCTCTAAAAAGCAGCCTTGTCTTTACCTGGAAGGACGTCTTTTTATCCATTAAGCTTGAAAAAGGTTTAAAAGTTCTCGAACCACAAGGATACATACACCTTTTGTTCCATTTTCAGTGAAAACATAACCCAAGATTGTAGTTGCAAGGTCTTTATGCCACTTGTGTTTTAATTATTGCTTTTTTGTATTTCTTTAGAGATGCAGAATAACGCAAGCAGCTACTGAAGAGCCTCAGTGCAGATAATTACAGACGCATGTGAAGAGTGTATTCTCCTGCAACATTTGTCAGCCTTGTTTCTGCAGCTGTGTTAATGTCCATGTTACTGCGTGCAGCTATTAGTCCTCAAAACTTCAATAAATTAACACTTGGGTTTTGTTTAAAAATCTTTATTTTTTTTGCAATAGAGTACCAAAACAAATGCAAAAAAGTGCTCAACTGTTTAAAGGTAAGTCATGCATGTTGTTAAATGAAACTGAGAGTTGGTGTTAACTTTTCTTAATGAAATATCCTCTCAAATATGTTTACAGAATCCCTTTCAACCATCAATGTGAAGCCAATATACAGTAGGAGTTGCATTGAAGCAAATACAATCTTTCCGTCGTTACATACCATGTCTCTTAAATTCCTTATCTATTTAAAATGCAAAAATACAAAAGCCTTGTAGAGTAAGAACGCATATCAACTTAAAGCAGTCTATACCACGTTTTTTAAGTATAAAACATCTTTAAAAAACAAAAAACATGTTATATTCAAAAGGTTTTTGATAATTTGTTTGTATTGTAAAATCATGCGTGTCAGCAGGAAATCAGCATAGGCCTATATAAGTCTTTATTTGGCATTTTATTTAATGTCAATCTGCTTAAAGGTATTATTTATAAAATGTTTAAAAACCACTGGACTTGTTTGTTTTCAAAGACATGTGTAATTTTAATGAGGCTATTTGGGTGTTTCCTCTCCCCTTTGAGCATGAGTCTGCAGAAAGCTGTCATAGGTTGACTTTCTATCCAGTTTAAGCCACATTCTTACCAAACACTTTTAATATCTTGGTGCTTTTTAACTATATATTTTAACCAAATGAAGGATTTTAGACATTGGACGTTTGGATAGGAAGTGATCAGAGAAAGAATCTGAGCTAACGTTAGCTACAGCCAAACTGCATTGGGAAACAGTGATTTTAAAACTAGTATATTATGTATTATTACTGGTTTTACTCACTGGGGCTGCTTGTTTGTGAGAGAAGGAGACCTGTAAGGATAATTTGGCCACTGATTAAAAACTTCTGATGTCTGGATCTTAAGGAGTCAGAGAAGAAACAGGCTGAAACAGGCTAAGCTAACATTAGCCTTTTATCTCGTAGCCTCTCCACCTTCCCAACTGTTTTAATAACTAAGACGAGAGGAGGAGAGCTGTAAGGATAATTTGGCTATTCATTAAAAAAAACTTCTGAACATCTGGATCATACGTTTTCAGAGAAACAGGCTGAGCTAGTTAGTTCATAGCTTCTCGAAGAAAGACTGAATATAAAACAAACTTCTTTATTGTGTATTTCAATAGGTTTAATAACTAAGGTGAAAGGAGGAAACCTGTAAGGATAATTTGGCTTCTGATGAAAAATACTTCTGAATGTCGGGATCTTAAGTATTCAGAGCTAAGCTAACGTTAGCATTTAGCTCGTAGCCTCTCCACCTTCCTGTCCACCATGGAAATACTGAATCGAAAACAAACTGCTTTATTCTGTATTTCAACTGTTTTAATAACTAACGCGAGAGGAAGAGACGTGTAAGGATAATTTGACTCCTGATAAAAACAACTTCTGAACATCCGGATCATACGTTATCGGAGAAACAGACAAGGCTGAGCTAACGTTAGCATTTAGCTCGAAGCCTCTCCAGGAAATACTGAATTTGCTTTAAAACTGTTTTTTCAGAAGAGACAATTCATTAGAAACTCCCATGATCCCAGCTACTTCACTTCTACGTATGTTGTTATTGTGTGGATAAAAAGCCCACTAGTAATTAGGCTACATATGAAAGTTTAAGTACAAATCTTGTAAAGTCTTAAATATGCTTTGAAAAAAACGCACTTTTAATATAATACAAATCTATGCATAAAAGTCCCAGATAAACCACTTTAATATTCAGGATAAGACCATTTTGGTAAATAATGATTAACCATCTGCAAAGAGATGCATCTTAAACAGACTATACTTTTGAATGCCTCGTAAAGATAGGGTGAGACAAGGTCACTTTGGATTAATTCAGTTTGATTACTGCATTAATCCAAGCCCCAGTGTGAGAAACCACAAATACAATCAAAAGCAGCAGTGAAAGAAAATGTGGAAATTGATGGAAAAGTGGCAACAGTTTGTAACAGGCGACTATTAAAAAAACAAAACATGTTTTGGTCCCTTAGCCTCGCTTAAACACACAGGTATAAAGATATACACTGATAATGTTTGAGCGCTCTTTGTAAAAGAGAATCTCAGATATGATTCCTCATCATGTTGACTTATTTTGGCTGTGAAATGTTGGGTTATTAAGATTCATAAAACATGTTCTTGGTGACGGTGGTTCCTCCCATGACGCTCCTCTGAACGACCTCCTTGGTGACCTGCCGGGTCACGATGCCGCTCGACTCCATGTGCTGCGTGGTCGTCATCATGCCGTCACCTAGAACAAAATAGCATTATTATTAAAGAGTGGTGCAGGAATAATAATAATTAAAATAATACATTTGATTTATAAAGCGCTTTCCTGGTGCTCAAAGCGCTTTACAAGAAAGTAAAGGAGAAAAATAACAACAAAAGTAAAAAGTGCTAAGCTAGGTGGAATAAGGGCGAATAGGAGTGGAACGCAAGAGTGAAAAGGTGAGTTTTGAGGGATTGTTTGAATGGTGTGAGAGTGAATGAGTCCTAAAACCTGGAAATTAGTCAGCATTTTAACAATTCCAGGGGTAGACATTAAGGGTAAAATGCCACTGGCCCCCCGGAGCGTTCGTCCAAAAAAAATCGACTTAAAATGAAGAAAATTAACACATTTGTTGCAATAGTAATGTATGCACAAACTACATTACTACTTGTACTACAACATTTGAATCATCAGTTCTTCCTCATTTTCCTCAATTGTTCATATTTGGTTTATTAAAATAATGATATTGTGGTCATTGTTAAAAAATGTCTGCTATTATGAGTATTATTATTTGTATAATGCGCTTTCTGCCTTCCTGTCATTAGGAGTTAGAAATGTAATGGCTATAGATTAGATTAGAACCTTCATTATCCTAAACTGCTGGGACATTTCCCTACAGCCAATACCTTTATATTGTCTACTCTTCACTTACTTGTCAGCATAGGTCGGCATTGATGTACAGAGCCGACTAAAGAAGACCTTGTTTATAGGGATGCACGATATTGGTTTTTTGAAACCGATACCGATAACTTCCTGCTTCTCAAGACCGATACCGATAATAAAAAAAAATGTACGCCACTAATTATTTTAACGCGATTAACGCATGTGTATTTTTTTCCCTTGGCCGCCCCGTAGTTTCAGAGCGCATCGAGTTTAAAAATACCATCTACAAGCTGATGCTGACAGCCCCGCTCCTGCCGCCCGCTTGTGGCAGACCACACTTCCACGCTCACCGGCAGGCACCGACTGGCCATCTGGAGGACCGGGAGGGTGTGTGTGTATATGTGGCCCAAGCGAGCGAGAGAGAGACCTTACGTGCATTGTTGTTGTTAGCATCTGGTGCTAGCTAGCTGCGCTAACGGATATAAGGAGCTGTTTAAATGAAAACAGAGGAGCGACATTTCGCCACAACTGCGCCGAGCACTTGACTTTATGCAGGAAGCCAGACAGTGGGACATTGTACGAAAAGTCAGCACACTCAGCACGGATAGTGCGCAACATGATTGCAGCGTCCAGGCAGCTCCGGTTCGAGCATATGCCTTGAGTTGCACATAGCTCCAACGCCCATACCACCGACGACATGTTTGTTTACTGTCCTGGCTTCACGGCCGCACACCATTTACGACACAGCCAGGCATGAGTTAGGGAGCGCTGGATTTGTGAAGAACTCCCCTCTTCCTAAACCACTAATACCACAGTACTGGCAAAACGGGAGGAGCCGAGTGAAAAACAAGCGCCCCTCATCCCAATCCACCCACACCGCAGTATTTGTTTCTTTTTTTGTACCCAAAAAATATATTGTATATTATCGGGGCTATTAATACTGGTATCAGGTTTATCGGGATGACGTCATAATTCCTAATATCGGACCGATAATTATCGGGCCGATAATTATCGGGCCGATAATTATCGTGCATCCCTACTTGTTTATCATATCATACATCGCATCATATTGAGAGGTGCAGTGACTCATCCTAAAACCAGGAAGTAAGCTGCTGGTTCCCTCCACAGAAAGCAATGGGATTTCTCCACAGGGTTTGGAAAATAGCTGGAAATAAGGTCTGTGGAAAACTAACCTGTTTGATAAATGCACGTTTTGTTCAGCCAGATAATCTCCACATGTTTACCCTACTTTTATAATGTTCGAATCATAAATCTAATCGATAGATTATAAAAGGGTTTTAGGACGCGTCACTGCACCACTCTATAGAAGCCAACTCCATCGATCAAGCTGAAACGTTCTCTCCCTCTTCTTCTCATGCTCCCTGTCACTCTCCTTTAACTCCTCCGGAGACTTTCTTTTATTTGAAGATTGTTTTTTGCACGGCGCTTGGCCGGTTACCACTGGTATTAAAAACATGTTGGCGAATGGTTAGGTGGCGCGATAGTCTGTAGTGAAGGAGCGCGCTCCCGCTCACGGGAGCCTGCTCGCGCTGCGCTCCGCAGCAAACAGCTGTTTGCTTTTCACCCAACAACGACAACTGCCTCACGAAACGCTATGTTGTAGCTTTAATAAACGAAACAATTTAACTAAATTGCTAGTCAAAATACCAATACCACAGGACAATTTTTTTAAAGCAATATTTTTAGTGGCCCGAGCGGGCAAGTGGAAAGTACGTTATGCTGGGTGTCTAAATAGTGCTTCCGGGCCAGCGGGCCATTTATAATGTCGAGCCCTGAATTCTGGAAATCGATGTTTTTAAAAAAATGTGACACTGTTGGATTTAAGAAAATACAAGGTTACGTGAAGCCATGTGACCGTGCTGTAGTTCCTTTATAGCCCAACATTAGCCACCTTCAGCTTAGCGGTGGTGACGTCCTAAAATTAGCTTTTTACTTCAAAAACCATAAAGTGTTGTCAAATTGTTGAGATTATTCCGATGATCCGAATGGTATGTGTATATTAAGTGTAAAAGATAGGTAACCAATAGTCCTTTTTTTTTAAAACCCATGAAAGTTTCAGTGTATAATTAACATACGATTGATACATATAATTTTATTTCAGATTTGTACCTGAGTAGTAGGGGTCGTTGATCATGGTGTGCGAGACGTTGGTCAGACTACTGACATCTGTCGGCAACTGGAAAACTTCTCTCCTCGACATCGACTGGCTGTCGTACTGAGACATATCGCCTATAAGGAGACAGGAAGGAAATAAATACTTAGATTACATTAATGCACTAGACAAGTGGTTCCCAACCTCTTTACCCCTAACTAAGTGACATATTTTATGGATATTTCATAGCATATGCAATGCTTAACAACTGATAAACTACAATAACTGCAGGAAGTTTGTAAAACGAGTGATTTGGATGACATTTTGAGTGGATTGAATAATCTAATCTTTTTTAACGCTTTCATTTTTAAATGGAAAAAGAAAGGGATGAGTTAAAAAAATAAATATATTTTGTATTTCATGTCTAAGATAAGATAAGATATGACTTTATTCATCCCGAAGGAAATTGTTGTGCCAGAGTTACAAAGATACAATAAACACAGCAGCATAATAAGCATAATAATAAAACTGTACACTAACAATTTTCTGTGACATTTTCTGTGGACATTGAAACTGAAGTAATACAATGTTAATGTGTTTCACCTCCGTCCTGAGACTCAATGGTGATGATGCCCTCCCTCTCGGGTCCGAAGCCCTGTGTGGTTCGAGCCTGGACTTTGAATTTGTACGGGACGTTTTCCGTGAGGTTCGGGACAGTGAGACTCGTCTCAGAGCTTTCTCCGTTCACCTGGAAGGAGCGGATGTCTCCTGGAGGAACAACACAGAACATGTGTTTCAGAACAAAGAGAAATGGGAACTGAACAAATGGAAAAAGTAACTGCATAAGTTTGTATTTGTTTCTTAGAATTTCTTGTAAATTGACTTCATTTTTGTAATTTGATATAAAATGTTATGATTACATTTCTTTTTCATAATTTAGATTTTTTTTTTTCTTGGAACTTCATTTTATTTTCAGAATTTAACTTTTTTCATGACTTTATTATTTTTTTTATGATATAGGGAATTCTTTTTTTTTTTTAACTTTTGGTCCGAATTTTCCCCTTTGCTCTTCAAGGTTTGACTCACCTCCACCGTGCAGCTGCTCGCAGGTCACGATGTATCCCAGGATGTCTCCGTTGGGTTTCCTTGGTTTGTCCCAGCTGAGATGCAGAGAGTCTGGACTCAGAGCCGTGAAGACCAGCGGACCCGGAGCACTCGGAGTACTGAGGGTGAACGGAGAACCTACAGCCAACAAACACACATTTTACTTCTAGTTACTGTATAAACAAGTTTTGGTATCCAATAATTTCTGATCTAAAAACCTTGAAAAAAGTATTGAAACAAAAATAAAATCAAACTAACAAATATTATTTTTATAATGTCTGAATGCTTTTTTGAAATTCCTTGTTGTTGAAATGTACTATATAAATAAAGCCGGCTTGCCTAAAACTCTAAAATATACATGTAGTGATGTTGGCCCCAAAATACAGACAAAGTACTGTAGCATAACACAGATTATGTTCTTCTAATTTCACTTTTTCCTCACCATTTGACTTCAAAACTGCATTTAAGTACAGTTCTTCAGTACAGTACTTCTGTACAGTACTTCAGTACAGTTCTTCTGTACAGTACTTCTGTACAGTACTTCAGTACAGTTCTTCAGTACAGTACTTCAGTACAGTTCTTCAGTACAGTACTTCAGTACAGTACTTCAGTACAGTTCTTCAGTACAGTACTTCAGTACAGTACTTCTGTACAGTACTTCTGTACAGTACTTCAGTACAGTTCTTCAGTACAGTACTTCTGTACAGTACTTCTGTACAGTACTTCAGTACAGTTCTTCAGTACAGTACTTGTCGTAAATGTACTGTGCAATTACCTGGCATGGGGCACAGTGGGCTCTTTGGGTCCACAGCGGACTCGATGGTGATGACTCCCTCCCTCTCAGGTCCCCAGCCCTCCTGACTCTGAGCCTTCACTTTAAACAGGTAGGAGTGGTTGGGAAGCAGATCCTGGATCAGCACCGCGTTCTCCGCCGGGTTCCCAACGCTGATGCGATTCACCTCACCTGCAGGGGAGGAAACAGAAATCAGCTGATCCACTCAGAATGGAAGTAGTCGTCACATACAGAGCATCAACTAGCTCCTGAACAGTGTCCTTCACATGCTGATATACAAGAGAGGGAAACCATATTTTTTGTTCAGCATTATTGTACCTCCACTGAGCAGCTGGTAGAGAACGCAGTATCCCATGATGTCCTTCTCACAGTGAGGCTCCTGCCAGCTGACTTTCAGGGCCGTCGGGCCGAGAGCCGAAAACACGAGTCGGCTGGGAGTGTCTGGGACTCCTGGAGAGACACGAGCGTCTGAAGAGAGACAAACACACACCTCACTGAATACCAGAGAGGGCAAGAGTACACACATCCTTTACTCGAGTAGAAGTACAGATACTCATGTTTAAAAATACTCTGGTAAAAGTAGAAGTACTGACTAAACTTCTTTACTCAGGTAAAAGTAAAGAACTATGGGCTTTGAAGTGTACTTCAGTAAAAAGTACCCATAACTAGCAGCTGTTTTAAAGAGTACCTGACCTCCCTTTATATCAATAGAACAATAATGTCATTGTTAGCTAATGAATGTTTCCATGCTGAACAACGGCAACATGACAACGTTTCCATTGGTCCCTCTTCTTTAGAGAAGACCAGGAAATGATGGATACACGGATCGTGTTCAAATCAATAGGCACGCAATGACTCTAAAGAATAATGATCACGCATCAAACACACATTCAGACTAAAGGAACCAGCTGTTTGGAAAATGAGAGAAGTAGAAAGTACAGGTATTTGAGTTCAACATGTAAGAAGTAGAAAGTACAAGTATTTGAGTTCAACATGTAAGAAGTAGAAAGTACAGGTATTTGAGTTCAACATGTAAGAAGTAGAAAGTACAGGTATTTGTGTTCAACATGTAAGAAGTAGAAAGTACAAGTATTTGTGTTCAACATGTAAGAAGTAGAAAGTACAGGTATTGAGTTCAACATGTAAGAAGTAGAAAGTACAGGTGTTTGTGTTCAACATGTAAGAAGTAGAAAGTACAGGTATTTGAGTTAAAAATGTAAGAAGTAGAAAGTACAGGTATTTGAGTTCAACATGTAAGAAGTAGAAAGTACAGGTATTTGGGTTCAACATGTAAGAAGTAGAAAGTACAGGTATTTGGGTTCAACATGTAAGAAGTAGAAAGTACAGGTATTTGTGTTCAACATGTAAGAAGTAGAAAGTACAGGTATTTGGGTTCAACATGTAAGAAGTAGAAAGTACAGGTATTTGAGTTCAACATGTAAGAAGTAGAAAGTACAGGTATTTGAGTTCAACATGTAAGAAGTAGAAAGTACAGGTATTTGGGTTCAACATGTAAGAAGTAGAAAGTACAGGTATTTGTGTTCAACATGTAAGAAGTAGAAAGTACAGGTATTTGTGTTCAACATGTGAGAAGTAGAAAGTACAGGTATTTGAGTTCAACATGTAAGAAGTAGAAAGTACAGGTATTTGAGTTCAACATGTAAGAAGTAGAAAGTACAGGTATTTGTGTTCAACATGTGAGAAGTAGAAAGTACAGGTATTTGAGTTCAACATGTAAGAAGTAGAAAGTACAGGTATTTGGGTTCAACATGTAAGAAGTAGAAAGTACAGGTATTTGTGTTCAACATGTAAGAAGTAGAAAGTACAGGTATTTGTGTTCAACATGTAAGAAGTAGAAAGTACAGGTATTTGTGTTCAACATGTAAGAAGTCAAAGTAAGAACTCGTCAGAAAAAGAAGTAGTGGAGTAAAGTACTGATACCAGAAACATGTACTTGAGGTAAGGACAGTAACAAAGTATTTGTACTCCACTACTTCCCACCTCTGATGATGTGATTTTTGTTTGTACAGTACTTTGGTCTGGATGTTTTAAAGTGCTTTTTATTGTATTGTGTAAAAATAAAATGTGTTTTTAGTGGTAAGACCTTTAAAGAGGAGATCAGAAAGACACAGGTAAATGGATTTCTTATTTCGGTGTTGGACCCTGAAGGCAGCATCTCCCTGGTTCAATGGGATCAATTCCTGCACGACTCTATGAAGACGATAGCAGAGCATTTCACACCCATGCGTTGCAGACTCACCCTGCAGCACCCTGTCCAGACTATAAAGCGCTTCGTTGACGTCTGAAGACCCGGTCCGAGCTCTGGAGCCCTGAGAGAGGCTGTAGCTGAACTGAGAGCTGCTCTGCGACGCATTGTAGCCGAAACCACCTGATGGCGCATTGAGCAGAGGAGGAAGCCAAGGAAGAAGATGGAGGGAGCAAGGTAGAAGGAGGTAAAGATGGAATACAAAGCGAGGGAGAAACAGCGATAGTCAGCATAGCTCCTGCAAACAAATCAGCAGCCAACAGCCCCAAACCTGCTAACACATGTCCAACCTAATCATGCGCTTTGCAAACCATCCCCACCATCTTTTATTTTAAAATGTACTGTTCTGTTTCTGGTTATTTCCCATATTGCAGTAAGCATTTCCCGTGATGTTCATCCTTCCTTCGTAGCCCTTGAGAAGGCTTGACCTTTTCACATTTCTGGCCTCACTGGATTCCACTTCTCAAGCAAGATAAGCACTGCTCACAGTACTAAAGCAACACCTCGTGCTCCACAGATGTAATGTATGGAAGTGTTTATCCTGCTTGATAACTGAGAGGTGGAGTTCAGCGAGGCCAGAGTGTGTCCTTTGGAATAAAAGTCTAAAAAGACGTACCTAGATCTGGGAACTTTCCGGACAAGTCTCCCATCACAATGGAGTCTCGGATGTTTTCCTCGGTGTAGGCCCGGTGCTCCGAGTGCTTCCTCATGATGACTTCTGAAGTGTGGACTCCTCCTCCTCCTACACTGTACCCTCCTCCTCCTACACTGTACCCTCCTCCTCCAACTCCTAATCCTCCTAGACTTCCTCCTCCTCCTCCTCCTACATTGTACCCTCCTCCTCCAACTCCTCCTCCTCCTCCTCCTACACTGTACCCTCCTTCTCCAACTCCTAATCCTCCTAGACTTCCTCCTCCTCCTCCTACACTGTACCCTCCTCCTCCTCCTCCTCCTCCTCCTCCTCCTCCTCCTCCTCCTCCTCCTCCTCCTCCAACACTTAGACCTCCTAGACTTCCTCCTCCTCCTCCTCCAACTCCGTACGTCATGTCAGTCCTACGAGTGCCTCCTACAAGAGAAAGGATAAAGAAAAACTGGAATAAATGCATGAACTTGCTGCAGAAGTGTTGGTGATTCACATGTTTAAGAGACATGGTGTTGTTTCATTAGATGGGGGTATTGGGTTCATGCTAATATATGTTGTGCACATGCTCATGGACAACTTTATGACCAAGTTTTGTTCTATTTAAGTCAACGGAAATGTACAAATAATATGTTTTAAAGTTACTGAAGCGATTCGTTTTTTTCAGAATTAGATTTTTGTCTTTCAGAATTTAACTTTTTTAAACTGTAGTTTTTACAAGCTTAAAAGCCCCGAGCCTGTTTTTCAGGTTTCAGGCTCGAAAATGACATTCCCAGAACAAATGACCATATCTTCCCTTCTAAAAAGGTTACATTAATAATCTTTTTTCTCAAAGTAATGATGAACCTGTGAGTTGGATGTATAAAAGTCAAAATCAATATAGATGTTTTTATTTTAAAGAAAATTCAGATTGAACATGGTAAAAAACTGTAAATTATAGTGTCCGTCCAAAAAATATGTTGTACTTATAGTGAAAACTAACCTTGGATGATGGGTTAGTAGACTACAAGCTTTAGGAATCCAAAGTACAACATATAATAAGTACCCTGTATCAAGACTGATGCAAAACAAGTGATATTTGACCTTTTTAGAGAGATTTAGAGAACAAAAAAAACCTCTTCTGGGGCCATTTGGGTGGATTTTCCATATCTCTGGCCCCCCTTGTTCGATTTTGACATGTGACGTCTCTTTCTGACCGTCAGAGCCAATATAATCGAAGGAAAATCGTCCCGCACACACTCATGTTAAAAAAAAAAGTTGCGTCTCTGCGCATGCTAGCTTTCAGCAGAGGGGAGAAATATCCTGCTCTGATATCAAGCAACGGAAAAGCAGTTTTATTGCTTATAGATTATCAGAACATTTCAAAGGGGATGCAGTCACATTGGATTAACCTATGGATTAACTACAGCATCGTTTTTATCGTTTTAATGCCATTGAAGACCAGTTTAGACCAGACAAAGACGAAGGTAAGCCATGTTAGCGTTGTGGGCTACCTAGCGCCACTTGTTTTGATGTACGTTTTTGTTGATAACGTCACGAGTTTGTATCTTTCAGTGTTGAGGTGGGCACCGTTAGATTCTGTGTCTCCTTGCGATCATAAACGATGTGTTGGATGTGCACCTAGGATAAGTAATAAAGGAGCTAGGAGTGATTATCGGTGCAGTAATAGGTTAGCATTTTTCGCTCAGGGGTAATTTAGATGCTTCTTATGAGACTTGTGTTTTGGTAAAAATGGTTTGTATCGTCAGTTAGCTGAGATTATTCCCGTTAATCTGGTATAACACATTAATAGGTTCTTAAATATTAAGATCCCCTGAGACACAGTGTCGTGAAAAATAATAATAAAGTACCCGCTGGCGGGGACCTTGGGGCTTAACAGGTTAATAATGATATAATGTTGGTACCTGAGCTGCTCATGTAGGTGGTGGATGTTTCTGTGGTGAAGGAGCTGCCCCCCCCTCCTCTGTAGTTGGTGCTCAGAGTTGATCTCGGAGAGGAAGAAGTCGACAGATTTCGAGACGCTGAACCTCCCGGGAACTGGAAGCTCGAATCCCATTTTCCATTCATGTTGTAATCTGTGGACATAGTGAAGATGATATATAGTACAGAAGGTAGCACGTTTAGCGGTTAGCATTGGATCAACACATCAAGCACCGAAAAACCAGGCCAGATCTGAAGAGGAAGCAGCAGCAGACTCCAGTCCTATGGGAGTTACAGAAACTATGTACTACAAAATAAGAAATATTCTGTGTAGCATTTTACGCTAGATTTTAGGTTATATTAGTCTAATGTTGTGCAATGAAGGTTCAAACCATATATTGTGTGGTTGATAATAAACATACATTGTTTATATAGCACTTATTCAAGTGAGAAACTACAGTATTACAGAACTACAGCAGTTGCTTTACTCAGGAATACTTGATTTCAGCTTGATTTTACCTAAAATTAGATCAGTTTTTTGAAGCTCTTGCCCTCCAAATGAAGGCAAAGACCAACTTCGTAGTGCGCAACAGGTTGAGTTGCATTATTTCTATGAGAATAATAAAACAAACTGTATAACGCCTTTTAACTTTGACATCAGATGCACTCATTCTGTCTTACTAAAAAAAAAAAAAGCCCTAGATTTATAATATTTAAGTCGATTATTTAGCATTTTCTTTTGTTGTAGTTTTAACGTTTTTTGTCTGTAGTCGGTGACATCCACATATCTTCATCTACAGATCTAAAGTGTTGCTGCTTTTACTTTTCAATGTGTAAAACTGATGTGTTGAACCTGCTAAATGCTAACAAGTATATTTCATAAGGTGCTTTGCATCAGAACATAAAATACAAACAAGAAAAAACACGTAACAGCTGCGAGGAGAAGGTGTCGTCACTGAAACTGCCCTGCAGAAACGAGACTGTATTTAATTCAGAAGCCAATATTTCCTTTCAGCCGCGCACACACACACACACACACACACACACACACACACACACACACACACACACACACACACACACACACACACACACACATCAAGCTGCCTCCAGATCGCCACCTCAGGACAGACAGAAAAGCCTGCCCACGATCATCAACTGGAGGTGGGGCAGTTGATGCCAGAGCTCCTCTCTGGGGACTGAAGCCCGAAATTAATCAGCCACATGTGGATATGTCTGATCCCGCTGGCTGCCGCTCGTGCATTAGAGCTGCCATGCTGTTTCGCTGTCTGCGGCCTGAGGGTCTTCACCTGGACGCGGTGTGTTGGCGTAGTTTTGGCGGGGGGCCTCGCTGTCGGAGCTGGCCTCGGTGTCGGTGCTGAGCCGGAAGACGTCCACTCGCTTTTTCCACGACACCTTACGCAGGTCCAGGTTGGACCCGACCAACTTCACATGGTTCCAGCCTTGTGTTCGGGGTCAGAGGGAAGCAAGCAGGCGGAGGATAGATTGGAGGCGAGGAAGAGTCAACGGGTGGCTTTAGTGTAACATTAGTTTACTAAAAGAAGAGCGGTCAAACTATGAAATGGGATAATATGATGAAGGAATTGTTTATTGTTGCTGTCGGGCGGAAAACTTTTCATATTTAGTATTTTTTTCTTTGTTATAATCAGTTGTGTTTGTAGTATAACACGTCAATGTTTTTATAATTACTCTCACTGCCTGAACACAGGTCTACACTGCAACTCTTACCATAGGCTGTTAAATAATAATTCAAATTTAAATGATGAGATCCACCTATTTGGTGACAGCTAGATGGATAGCTAAGGTAAGCTAGCTAACTAGGTAGATAGATAGCGAACGTTTGCTAGCTTACTATCACATTGACTGAACTGAGTTTGGTCAGTAAGTTAGCCACTCATTTGGAGATAGCTAGATGGGTAGCTAACATTTGCTAGCTAGCTTGTTCGATGGGAAGGTATGGTAGCATGCTAGCAAACTATGTAGCTAGCAAACGTTAGCTAAATAGCTAACGTTCGCTAGCTAAATAGCTAATGTTTGCTAGCTAATCAGCACACTGACAGGTTAACTGAGTTGGTCTCTGGTTAACTAGTGTTTCTAAATGTCAGCACTGTGGACCTCAGTCTTCTGTCGGTGAGAGTTATTGAGCGTTATGAGCTTTAATCCGTTCGGCTCATATTTTGTTCTTTCTTTTTCGTAGCTCCTCATAGCAGAGCATTTTCACCACAGCACTCAACAGAATTATTAAATATACCCAGTCTCACGGCATTTCGTGTTATAGTCACGAAATTAATTTAATCTATTGATTCGTGTTCACCAACACAATTTCCCCCTTTTTGTCGTGTCACACAGAACGATTTAAAAAATGTATTTCTATTGGTAGTGTGTTTCGTGCCTGCGTCTTTTTGTCCGGTGTCGGTACCATATATGTTCGGGGCATAGAGGTTCGGGGGCCTTCTCTTACCAATGACGTCACGCATTGTATGGCTGTACGGTAATTTACCCAGGGTTGCTCGGGGGCAAATCACATCTACAGATCATGACAAACCAAATTGAAGTATTCCTATACTCCTAGCGTCTGAAAATGTTTGTGAAAAACATGTAAAAAAAACATGAAAACGGAGCAGTGGCTGTACGCCATTGGCTGTACGGCAACTCAAGAGGACCATCATACACGGTAACATTCCGAACATTTAAACATAGCCTACACTTAATTCTTTACTTTGTCCGTTATTATATGCAGAAGATATTGCTTTTTTCTCCGTGATGTTGTTTCTATAGCAACAACTTCAAACAGGAAGTTAACCTAAATTACATTTAAGACACTGCAACGAAAAGTAACAAAAACAATGTAAAATCCTTTTCCGTTTCACAGAACACAAATTGGGTTATTTACATAATTATGTTTACACTGTTGATTGTTATGTTTGGGGGACACACAACACATCAAATCACATCTACAGATCAAGACGAAGCGAATGAAAGTACTCCCATACTCCTAGCGTGTGAAAATGTTTTTGAATAACGTGTGCAAAGTCTCTGAAAACGGAGCAGTGGCTGCGATGCTAGCTTTGCGGCTAGCGGTTAGCATTTTCAATGGAAATATACATCGAAACATCATGTTTCAGTAAAAAGAAGGCCTCACTGATCTTTGACGTCATTACGTCGTGACGTCACTGGTAAGAGACGGACCCAGAACACATATGGTACCCCGAACACATATGGTACCGACACCGGTCGGGTCTTGGAAGACCGGAAGCTGTGGGGTTCATACAAACTTGTTCTTACTCAATATCAAGCCACGATTATTGTTTTTATTTTAAATTGTTAAAGGTGGGGTAGCTAAGTTTCAGAAACCGGCTCGAGTGCACTAAAATTTGAAAGTACACAGCCGAAAAGAATCCGCCCCTTCCTTCAGACTTCCTTACAGAGCACCTCCTCCACACATGAACGCGCATGACGTCAGCAGACTGGTGAGAGTGGCCGCCTGCTGCTGGCGAGTCATTGAAGTACTGCTGCAATGCACGCCCAATGAGGGCACGCCGAATGAGGGCACGAGATACATTTGTGCGTGCACGAGATGGAAGGCTGACAGACAGGGCGGCAATCCAATCCGTTTAGCCGGGCCACGGCTTCCACAGATTACATTTTTTTATGGATTTCTTGTCAAAGCACTTCAGATATTCATTGCTATCGGGATGTTAAGAGCATTCCATGGAATATAACAAAAAGTGTATCTCGAGCCGGTTTCTGAAACTTACCTACCCCACCTTTAATGTCGGACCTTTTTTGCCATCTATGAGAAAAATAAATGGCTCAGAGCGTCAAAATACTGAAATCTGTTTTTCCTTCTAATTTGTTATTATTTACATTGCTTTTAAAATCGTTCTGTGTGACACGGGAACAAATGGGGAAAATCGTGTTGGTGAACACGAATCAATAGATTAATTTCGTGACTATAACACGAAATGCCGTGAGACTGGGTTGAATCAGCACACTGGTTAACTTGTTTTTTCTAAATGTGAAAGTTATTAAAAATGTCCCCATATCAGATTTCATTATCATGTCATCCTGTTTAGTCTCTAACAGAGGATGCTGTAAAACCATCACCTCACAGTAGCTGAGAATGATCTTGAATACAATTCATTTTTAAAAAAGCTGTTAGAGATAAACAGGAAGAGCTAACAAAAAGGATACCAATTTGTAAACATCCTGTTCAATTACTTTAAAAGGTTGTATTAATTTATTTATTTCCTTAACAGAAAGTTGTGGGCTCTCTTCAGGTTTTCCGCCTGACAGCGACGATATATATGTTGTTTTTTTCTCTTGGAGACGAGGAGCAACATCAGCATTAACTCCCAGAGAAATAAAACAAGGTCTGCAGAAAGAAGAAGAGCGGCAGCAGATTGAAACGAGGAGAGGCCTTGCGGTTTGTAATCGTAAAGCACTAGTATTGCAGATATCTGGGGATGTATTGGAAGCACATTTCGTGAGGCGTTGCCTGCCAGAAAGAAGTCATAAATCTTTCCAGCTCTTCCTCAATGCCCCTCTGGTGAAATTAGTAGTAGAAAAACTGAGAATTGAGAAGTTTTTTTTTTTAACATTTTCCCCTTCTGACAGAGCACATAAAAAACGTGACAACGGGAACAAAGACGGTGATAAATCCAGAATAATTGGATCCACATTACAGCGATAGCTCACAGGTCTGGCAGTCACATCCATCTTTCCGAAAAGCATCAGAATGAAGCAGGAGCCGGGTTAGTTTTACTGTCAGCTCCTTTGATTACCCACCATCTCCGGAGACGCTGGGAGTCTTGGATCCTGCAGGAGACTTCATCACCTCGCTGCTGTACATCAGGTAGCTGTCGTACTCGTCTCCAGCCTCAGCGTCGATGATGGGGATATCTGGGATGATGGGAACTATCGAGACAGGAGGAGAAGGAGGTAAATATATTGGCAGGGAACGTATAACAATATTTCTTCTGGGAGTGATCACGACTAGTTGTAAGAAATCAACATTTTTTGAAGGCCTTGGAATAATTGATTGATTTTATTTGAAGAGAATATCACAGAAGAGATCTTCGAGCTTTGATCAATTAATGTAGAGAGACGATCGTAAGTTCAAACTCAACCATATTGCACACTTTTTAAATGTGTTATCCGTTATTTGGCTTTTTCTAATCATTGCTTTTAATAACAGCTCATTTTATTTCCAATCTCAAACTGTTCTAATGTTTTCTTAACGTCTAAACTTGATTACACTTTAAAATGGCTTCGTGTCTTAATGGTGATTTGCCTTGTCTTACCAGGGTGCAAATATACAAATCTGTGTTTGCTTATGGACTACACTAAATGTTTTACAGTGATGCAAGTTTAATATTTCACAGAGAATTAATTGCATTTAATAAAACGATTAATTATCTTATTCATGTTTGTTGGTTTCTAGGATTTCCAATTCCAAATCCTACTTCACTTTTATCCTCAGGGCAATTGTATGCCCTCCTATTTCACTTATATTACTTGTTTTGTTGCCCCAATAAACATTCATCTGTTTGTCATCTTGCAATAAACTTATTTATATAAATAGTTATCGACGTATTAAACCGTATTTAATTAGCTCTTAATGTACATTATTTAATTTCATATTCTGTTCTTGTTCATATCATATTCTGTTAACATCTATATAGACTTTTTATTTTGTATTTGTGTATTTTATTAAATGATATATACTTTTTATTAATCCCTGTGGGGAAATTGTTTCTCTGCATTTGACCCATCCTGTGTTAGGAGCAGTGTGCTGCCATTTTGAACAGCGCCCGGGGAGCAGTGTAGGGAACGGTGCCTTGCTCAGGGACACCTCGGTAGCACTTGGTCTTTTCCGGGACTTGAACTGCGACCTTCCAGTTGCCAAGCCAAGTCCCTATGGACTTCGCCACCACCGCCCCAGATGTGTTGCATTGTTGGAGGAGCTCAGGTCAGAATAATTTCATTGCCATTTCTACTCTGTAGCTTTTGAGCTAACGATGATAAAACCTTTGAATTTAGTCTCATATTTGTTGGTGTCTTAAATCTCTTGTGTTTCCGACTGAAACTGAAGTCTGTTGAGGGTGTGTTGGCCCCATACTTACTGGACAGAGGTCTTGCGGGCTGCGATGCCAGGTTGATGGTGGCGTCTCTGAATGGACCCCAGCCCATGCTGTTCATGGCCCGGACTTTGTACTGGTAGGTCTGGGCGCGCTGCAGGTTCTCGATCAGCAGCATGCGCTTCTTCGGGTTGTCGATCTTTATCTTCTTAGCGGCGCCCTCTGGCTCTGTGAGGAGAGAGTATTGGTTTAAAGGTCTCCTATTATACTGTATTTAGGCATATATTATAGGTCTCAGATATATACAAATATATAAAACAGTGTTTTGCTCAAAATACCAAACAGATCACCCATTCTAGCCTCATATCCCTCTATTTCAGCCCTGTTAGACAAGTGCTGATTCTGGGTCTGTAGCTTTAAAAAAAAATGATAAATGCTGCCGTGATAAAACACCAAAAACCACATCAAGGATCCTCTCTGAAACAGGATGGAGCTCAAACTCTTTCTCTCTCTCAGGTTTACCACAAGGTGACTTCCTTTTGATTTCCTGCTTCTTCACACACACTCTCTCCAGTACATGTTAGCTCTGAGTGTTAGCATGCTAATGTAAACACAGACCATATTACTTCCAGAACACGTCTCATTGTTTCTGACAGCAACGTTTCTGATTGGCCCGTGGGGGCAAAGCCCGCCCACATTTTAGTAATGTGGTCATGACGCAGCAAATCTGGATCAGCGTCGTTGTTCCCCGTTTTTAGAGATGTGGGTACGGAGGAGAAGAGAGAGGGGTTTATTTCCTGACACTTTGAGAGTCTCCTGACACACCGGGGACACACCGGGGACACGTGGTGATGTAGAGAAGACATCAGGAAGTGCATTTTGCATGATAGGAGACCTTTAAATATGAAAATGACACGATGCTAATATATAGATAAACTCTTGAGGTTTGGTTCTTACTCGTGTCCTCGCCGATGGGGGTGTAGATGACTTCGTACGCCGTGATGTTCCCGTTGGTTTCGGCAGGTTCACCCCAGCTGACCTGAGTGACCGTCGGGCTGATCACGTTGAAGGCCAGACGTCCTGGTTCACCGGGAACTGAAGAAAAAACAACACAGGAAACGTTTTTATGTTCAAACTAAGGTAAGGTACTTTTATTTACAGAGCACATTTTCAGCTAGACATGGCATTTTACTAGTCCTTAAATGTGTAATGAATCAATGTTTAGACACTAAATTAGTGTTCAAATGTTGATGTTTTTAAGAATAACTGGTTCAACCCAATCCAGAAGATAAAATCACATAAAAAAACAAACCAAAAATCCATTGATTCTCTACAAGATATCATCATTTTGATAATATTTTCGTCTGGTATCCTTTTATAAACACCAGTATAGTAAATTCTGAGTAGTTACCGTCCTCCAGTGTTTGACAGGGCACCATGTCTGTATCATATCCGTCTCCCATGGCGTTGTACGCGCAGACCCTCGTCTCGTAGTCGCAGTACGGGTACAGGTTGGTCAGCTCAGCCTGAGGCGTCTTCACATCCATCACCTTGGCGTCTTCCTCCGGGTCGCCATAGATCCAGTACTTTACCTGAAGCATACAAGGTACACACATCCTTTACTCGAGTAGAAGTACAGATACTCGTGTTTAAAAATACTCTGGTGAAAGTAGAAGTACTGACTAAACTTCTAAGTAAAAAGTCAAAGTAAAGAGGCTTTGAAGTGTACTTCAGTAGAAAGTACCCATAACTAGCAGCTGCTTTAAAGAGTACCTGACCTCCCTTTATATTAATAGAACAATAATGTCATTGTTAGCTAATGAATGTTTCCATGCTGAACAACGGCAACATGACAACGTTTCCATTGGTCCCTCTTCTTTAGAGAAGACCAGGAAATGATGGATACACGGATCGTGTTCAAATCAATAGGCACGCAATGACTCTAAAGAATAATGATCACGCATCAGACACACATTCAGACTAAAGGAACCAGCTGTTTGGAAATGAGAGAAGTAGAAAGTACAAGTATTTGAGTTCAACATGTAAGAAGTAGAAAGTACAGGTATTTGTGTTCAACATGTAAGAAGTAGAAAGTACAGGTATTTGAGTTCAACATGTAAGAAGTAGAAAGTACAGGTATTTGAGTTCAACATATAAGAAGTAGAAAGTACAGGTATTTGGGTTCAACATGTAAGAAGTAGAAAGTACAGGTATTTGAGTTCAACATGTAAGAAGTAGAAAGTACAGGTATTTGAGTTCAACATGTAAGAAGTAGAAAGTACAGGTATTTGAGTTCAACATGTAAGAAGTAGAAAGTACAGGTATTTGAGTTCAACATGTAAGAAGTAGAAAGTACAGGTATTTGAGTTCAACATGTAAGAAGTAGAAAGTACAGGTATTTGAGTTCAACATGAGAGAAGTAGAAAGTACAGGTATTTGAGTTCAACATGTAAGAAGTAGAAAGTACAGGTATTTGAGTTCAACATGTAAGAAGTAGAAAGTACAGGTATTTGAGTTCAACATGAGAGAAGTAGAAAGTACAGGTATTTGAGTTCAACATGTGAGAAGTAGAAAGTACAGGTATTTGAGTTCAACATGAGAGAAGTAGAAAGTACAGGTATTTGAGTTCAACATGTGAGAAGTAGAAAGTACAGGTATTTGAGTTCAACATGTAAGAAGTAGAAAGTACAGGTATTTGAGTTCAACATGTAAGAAGTAGAAAGTACAGGTATTTGTGTTCAACATGTAAGAAGTAGAAAGTACAGGTATTTGTGTTCAACATGAGAGAAGTAGAAAGTACAGGTATTTGAGTTCAACATGAGAGAAGTAGAAAGTACAAGTATTTGAGTTCAACATGTAAGAAGTAGAAAGTACAGGTATTTGAGTTCAACATGTAAGAAGTAGAAAGTACAGGTATTTGAGTTCAACATGAGAGAAGTAGAAAGTACAAGTATTTGAGTTCAACATGTAAGAAGTAGAAAGTACAGGTATTTGTGTTCAACATGTAAGAAGTAGAAAGTACAGGTATTTGTGTTCAACATGTAAGAAGTAGAAAGTACAGGTATTTGAGTTCAACATGTAAGAAGTAGAAAGTACAGGTATTTGAGTTCAAAATGAGAGAAGTAGAAAGTACAAGTATTTGAGTTCAACATGTGAGAAGTAGAAAGTACAGGTATTTGTGTTCAACATGTAAGAAGTAGAAAGTACAGGTATTTGTGTTCAACATGTGAGAAGTAGAAAGTACAGGTATTTGTGTTCAACATGTAAGAAGTAGAAAGTACAAGTATTTGAGTTCAACATGTGAGAAGTAGAAAGTACAGGTATTTGGGTTCAACATGTAAGAAGTAGAAAGTACAGGTATTTGTGTTCAACATGTAAGAAGTAGAAAGTACAGGTATTTGAGTTCAACATGTAAGAAGTAGAAAGTACAGGTATTTGAGTTCAACATGTAAGAAGTAGAAAGTACAGGTATTTGTGTTCAACATGTGAGAAGTAGAAAGTACAGGTATTTGTGTTCAACATGTGAGAAGTAGAAAGTACAGGTATTTGTGTTCAACATGTGAGAAGTAGAAAGTACAGACTGTGTTCAACATGTAAGAAGTAGAAAGTACAGGTATTTGAGTTCAACATGTAAGAAGTAGAAAGTACAGGTATTTGAGTTCAACATGTGAGAAGTAGAAAGTACAGGTATTTGAGTTCAACATGTAAGAAGTAGAAAGTACAGGTATTTGTGTTCAACATGTGAGAAGTAGAAAGTACAGGTATTTGTGTTCAACATGTGAGAAGTAGAAAGTACAGACTGTGTTCAACATGTAAGAAGTAGAAAGTACAGGTATTTGAGTTCAACATGTAAGAAGTAGAAAGTACAGGTATTTGAGTTCAACATGTGAGAAGTAGAAAGTACAGGTATTTGGGTTCAACATGTAAGAAGTAGAAAGTACAGGTATTTGAGTTCAACATGTAAGAAGTAGAAAGTACAGGTATTTGAGTTCAACATGTAAGAAGTAGAAAGTACAGGTATTTGTGTTCAAATGTAAGAAGTAGAAAGTACAGGTATTTGTGTTCAACATGTGAGAAGTAGAAAGTACAGGTATTTGAGTTCAACATGTAAGAAGTAGAAAGTTCAGGTATTTGTGTTCAACATGTAAGAAGTAGAAAGTACAGGTATTTGGTTTCAACATGTAAGAAGTAGAAAGTACAGGTATTTGGGTTCAACATGTGAGAAGTAGAAAGTACAGGTATTTGAGTTCAACATGTAAGAAGTAGAAAGTACAGGTATTTGTGTTCAACATGTAAGAAGTAGAAAGTTCAGGTATTTGTGTTCAACATGTAAGAAGTAGAAAGTTCAGGTATTTGTGTTCAACATGTAAGAAGTAGAAAGTTCAGGTATTTGAGTTCAACATGTAAGAAGTAGAAAGTTCAGGTATTTGTGTTCAACATGTGAGAAGTAGAAAGTACAGGTATTTGAGTTCAACATGTGAGAAGTAGAAAGTTCAGGTATTTGTGTTCAACATGTAAGAAGTAGAAAGTACAGGTATTTGAGTTCAACATGTAAGAAGTAGAAAGTTCAGGTATTTGTGTTCAACATGTAAGAAGTAGAAAGTACAGGTATTTGAGTTCAACATGTGAGAAGTAGAAAGTACAGGTATTTGTGTTCAACATGTAGAAGTAGAAAGTACAGGTATTTGTGTTCAACATGTAGAAGTAGAAAGTACAGGTATTTGTGTTCAACATGTAGAAGTAGAAAGTACAGGTATTTGAGTTCAACATGTAAGAAGTAGAAAGTACAGGTATTTGGGTTCAACATGTGAGAAGTAGAAAGTACAGGTATTTGAGTTCAACATGTAAGAAGTAGAAAGTACAGGTATTTGAGTTCAACATGTAAGAAGTAGAAAGTACAGGTATTTGAGTTCAACATGTAAGAAGTAGAAAGTACAGGTATTTGTGTTCAACATGTGAGAAGTAGAAAGTACAGGTATTTGTGTTCAACATGTGAGAAGTAGAAAGTACAGGTATTTGTGTTCAACATGTGAGAAGTAGAAAGTACAGACTGTGTTCAACATGTAAGAAGTAGAAAGTACAGGTATTTGAGTTCAACATGTAAGAAGTAGAAAGTACAGGTATTTGGGTTCAACATGTAAGAAGTAGAAAGTACAGGTATTTGAGTTCAACATGTGAGAAGTAGAAAGTACAGGTATTTGAGTTCAACATGTAAGAAGTAGAAAGTACAGGTATTTGAGTTCAACATGTGAGAAGTAGAAAGTACAGGTATTTGAGTTCAACATGTAAGAAGTAGAAAGTACAGGTATTTGTGTTCAACATGTGAGAAGTAGAAAGTACAGGTATTTGTGTTCAACATGTGAGAAGTAGAAAGTACAGACTGTGTTCAACATGTAAGAAGTAGAAAGTTCAGGTATTTGAGTTCAACATGAGAGAAGTAGAAAGTACAGGTATTTGAGTTCAACATGTAAGAAGTAGAAAGTACAGGTATTTGAGTTCAACATGTGAGAAGTAGAAAGTACAGGTATTTGGGTTCAACATGTAAGAAGTAGAAAGTACAGGTATTTGAGTTCAACATGTAAGAAGTAGAAAGTACAGGTATTTGAGTTCAACATGTAAGAAGTAGAAAGTACAGGTATTTGTGTTCAAAATGTAAGAAGTAGAAAGTACAGGTATTTGTGTTCAACATGTGAGAAGTAGAAAGTACAGGTATTTGAGTTCAACATGTAAGAAGTAGAAAGTTCAGGTATTTGTGTTCAACATGTGAGAAGTAGAAAGTACAGGTATTTGAGTTCAACATGTAAGAAGTAGAAAGTTCAGGTATTTGTGTTCAACATGTAAGAAGTAGAAAGTACAGGTATTTGGTTTCAACATGTAAGAAGTAGAAAGTACAGGTATTTGGGTTCAACATGTGAGAAGTAGAAAGTACAGGTATTTGAGTTCAACATGTAAGAAGTAGAAAGTACAGGTATTTGTGTTCAACATGTAAGAAGTAGAAAGTTCAGGTATTTGTGTTCAACATGTAAGAAGTAGAAAGTTCAGGTATTTGTGTTCAACATGTAAGAAGTAGAAAGTTCAGGTATTTGAGTTCAACATGTAAGAAGTAGAAAGTTCAGGTATTTGTGTTCAACATGTGAGAAGTAGAAAGTACAGGTATTTGAGTTCAACATGTGAGAAGTAGAAAGTTCAGGTATTTGTGTTCAACATGTAAGAAGTAGAAAGTACAGGTATTTGAGTTCAACATGTAAGAAGTAGAAAGTTCAGGTATTTGTGTTCAACATGTAAGAAGTAGAAAGTACAGGTATTTGTGTTCAACATGTAAGAAGTCAAAGTAAAAACTTGTCAGAAAATAAGTAGTGGAGTAAAGTACTGATACCAGAACAATGTACTTAAGTACAGTAACGGAGTATTTGTACTCCATACTTCCCCCCTCTGATGGGACGTACCTTGTACCCCTGGGGGTTCCCAGGCGGAGGGTCCCAGTTGAGGCGGATGTTTCGGGGTCCGGTTGCTTTGGCCTTGAGGTTTTCGGGGGAGAGAATATGGCCGCCGGGGGAAGTGGCTGTTGTCTTTATGTTGCTCATCTGCATCTGGTCAAACTCTGTAGATCTGGGACCTGCTGGGAGGGGAAGGCAGACAATCGGACTAAATTAGCCAAATCTTGACCACATCCGGTCCTTCTGCTTTAGATTGTCCCTTTCTCTTATCAAATAAAATATAAATATGAAACCGCTCTCATCCAGATCTTTTTCCCTTTCTTGCAATGGACATAAATGTATAAAATAATCTGTGTCTATGATTTGAATCTGAACCTAATGGTGAATGTAAGCTACCTTTTTGGGTTTCATATGTGTGTAGATGTGGCTCTGATACTAGGAGGGTAAAGTGATGGAGCTCCATTTGTTATGTAAGGGATGATGTGCAGCGAGGCAGTCATTATGGGGAAAAGAACACCCGACAGGCAGATCAGGAAGCGGAGGGACCTTGATCAGCATGAAGGGTGTTCTTCATAATGACTGCGTCGCTGCACATCATCCGCTTATCACACGGCCACATTCTCAACAAAGTAACGACATGACTCCCAATATTAATTGAAATGCTTTTATGGATTTAAAAAAATAGTTGTATTGATTTAAAATGACATGCATCCGCTAAGAAAAGTAGTCCGTTGTTGCCGTTTGAACTAACGTAGCAACGGCAGGAACTGCTTCGTTAGCGTTTTTGAGGAGCTTTTTGATTACAGATTTGAAAACATCGCTGCTTGCTTTAAAAGTAGCACACTTCATTAAGTCAAACCTTGGGAAGCATCTAGATACCCCTGCCCTAATGCCAAAGGAACTGCACACTGAATATGTGTCGCCGTTTGATGTCTATGTCTGGACCGCTGCGTAAAGAGGAGGGTTTCTGCCTGTTACTTCTCCGCTGTTTTCTTGTCGCTCTTGTCTTGTCAGTTTGAAAAGCAAACTGTATACAGTTAAATCGACCGACCTTCTTTCTGCAGATGTGAGCGTCCTTAACAACGGTCAATAAATCCATGACAGCGGTCTGTACTACTGGATTAACAACGTGTCACGTGTTCTGAATCGACCAATCAGAATCGAGTATTCAACTAAGCCATGTAATACATTTAGAAAGCTGTGTCACTAGTGTAGCTACGCAGTGACTGATGCACATTAGTTTTCCAGTACTTTATGAATCTCTGACCAAAGATGCTCCTCAGAACTGTTACAGGATGTTTTTAATCGTTAATATTTTTGTATGCATGCTTCTTGGTAACATTAAGCTGTCTTTGGCTCTTTTTCTGCTGTAACAATGTACATTTCCCCTCTGTGGGACTAATAAAGGTATTCTGATTCTGAATTATCACTGGGCAAAGATATCATGATTTTGATCATATTTTTGGGCTGGTATCTCCTCTTACCTGCATCGATGACGTTGATCAGCGTGGTCTTCTTCTCTCCGACGGAGGCGTTGTTGCTCGGGTCGAACAGCTCCAATTGGATAATTTCGGGCGTCACAGGGCCGGGTTTGGACTTCGGGTCGATCACGATGTTCTTCTCCGTCTCTCCGGGGTTGAACTTCAGGACGCCGGAGAGGTCGAGGCGCTGAGACTTCTTGGTTCTCCACTTCACCGTCGCCGGGCTGTTTGGGTTTCGAGTGCGGACCACGGGGACGGAGTAGTTCAGGTCGGAGGTGGTGAAGTTCTGGGTTCCCTTTTTGAACATCATCACACTGGGCTCTGGATAGAACGAGAAGGGGAACATAATTTAAAACCGTATTTAATTTTGTCTTAATGTACATCCTCTGCAGATTTAGTAAATGTACCCACTTACAAAGAAATGAACAGTCTATTGTAATGGTAGGTTTATTCAAATACTTATTTACCACAGTTCAATGCAAATAATTGTTTATCTTTTATATAATGTACATTTCTGGATTCTCTTTTTGATATTCTGTCTCTCATTAGTCAAATAAACCTCCCATTACAATTATAGACTGTTCATTTATTTGTAAGTAGGCAAATTAACACAATCTGCAAGGGATCAAATACTTATTCTTGCACTATTCTTTATTTGTGTATTCTATTATACATGTTGCATTGATGGAGGAGCTTCATTGCCATTTCTACTCCGTAGCTTTGTTCATATGACGATAAAACCTTTGAAAGCTGAAAGAAAGGGGAAGACGGCGATAAGACGGTATCTGTGAATAGCTGTGGTGTTTAAATCTGAAACGAAGTGCCGTTATAGTAACAGTTACAGTGAACAGAGTCTTGTAATATTTGTACCTATGTTACAAAAAATGTCTTCCAGTTTGAAACACATGGACACGTCTCCTTGCCACAGAACGAGAGGTGACCTTCAACAAAGTCAGTATTTGTCCAGAAGGCCATAAGCAAGGGTAAGACAATGCAATATATATATGTTCATACGTATACACCGTGGAACATGTGAATCATATACTTAGCGTTAGGCCTATGCATGTGTTGTAAAGATTGCTGATATGAAATATGAAACAAATGAAAGTCTAACCAATGTGTAACCTCCCAATTGAATAGTGAATTTAAGCTACTTCTTAGGGTTTCATATGTGTGTAAATGTGGCTCTGATACTAGCCATTCGAGGGTAAAGTGATGGACCTCCATTTTGTATACTTAAAAAGCTGTGTCACTATCGTAGCTACGCAGTAACTGATCAGTATCTGTTTTAAAGATCTGTCTTTTTGCATTAAAGGTCCCCTATCATCCTCCTCTTCATCAATATATCACAGGTCTCAGATATATCCAGAGCCTGTCTCTGATTGGCTGAAACACCAAACAGATCATTGCAGCATTACCCATAATCCCCTCTGTTTCAGCCCTGTTTCCAAAGTGCTGATTCTCTGTCTGTTACTTTAGATGAAAATAAGGAGCCCCTCCCCACGCCCCTCTGAGAGAGATTTGGTTACAAAGAACTCAATGGAGCTCTAGGAGGAGATTCAGGTGATAAGGGGGGGGGGGGGTTACCTTGGTTGCTGATTGGCTAATGGTTACACAAGACAAAACATCGTTATGACATCATAAAGTGGCCAAAATCTGATCAGCTCATTTTCAGACAGGTTTTTATAGAAATGGATCAAAAAGAGAGAGAATCTTTGTTCCTGAAACTTTCAGAGTCTCTTTCCACAGAGGGGACACATGTTGATGTAGAAGAGACATGGAGAAGAGGGGACACATGTTGATGTAGAAGAGACATGAAGAAGAGGGGACACATGTTGATGTAGAAGAGACATGGAGAAGAGGGGACACATGTTGATGTAGAAGAGACATGAAGAAGAGGGGACACATGTTGATGTAGAAGAGACATGAAGAAGAGGGGACACATGTTGATGTAGAAGAGACATGAAGAAGAGGGGACACATGTTGATGTAGAAGAGACATGAAGAAGAGGGGACACATGTTGATGTAGAAGAGACATGAAGAAGAGGGGACACATGTTGATGTAGAAGAGACGTGAAAAAGAGGGGACACATGTTGATGTAGAAGAGACGTGAAGAGAGGGACCTGTTGGTGTAGACGAGACATGAAGAAGAGGGGACACATGTTGATGTAGAAGAGACATGGAGAAGAGGGGACACATGTTGATGTAGAAGAGACATGGAGAAGAGGGGACACATGTTGATGTAGAAGAGACATGAAGAAGAGGGGACACATGTTGATGTAGAAGAGACATGAAGAAGAGGGGACACATGTTGATGTAGAAGAGACATGAAGAAGAGGGGGACACATGTTGATGTAGAAGAGACATTGAAGAAGAGGGGACACATGTTGATGTAGAAGAGACATGAAGAAGAGAGGACACATGTTGATGTAGAAGAGACATGAAGAAGAGGGGACACATGTTGATGTAGAAGAGACATGGAGAAGAGGGGACACATGTTGATGTAGAAGAGACATGAAGAAAAGGGGACACATGTTGATGTAGAAGAGACATGAAGAAGAGGGGACACATGTTGATGTAGAAGAGACATGAAGAAGAGGGGACACATGTTGATGAAGAAGAGACATGAAGAAGAGGGGACACATGTTGATGTAGAAGAGACATGAAGAAGAGGGGACACATGTTGATGTAGAAGAGACATGAAGAAGAGGGGACACATGTTGATGTAGAAGAGACGTGAAGAAGAGGGGACACATGTTGATGAAGAAGAGACATGAAGAAGAGGGGACACATGTTGATGTAGAAGAAACGTGAAGAAGAGGGGACACATGTTGATGTAGAAGAGACATGAAGAAGAGGGGACACATGTTGATGTAGAAGAGACATGAAGAAGAGGGGACACATGTTGATGGAGAAGAGACATGAAGAAGAGGGGACACATGTTGATGTAGAAGAGACATGAAGAAGAGGGGACACATGTTGATGTAGAAGAGACATGAAGAAGAGGGGACACATGTTGATGTAGAGGAGACATGAAGAAGAGGGGACACATGTTGATGTAGAAGAGACATGAAGAAGAGGGGACACATGTTGATGTAGAAGAGACATGAAGAAGAGGGGACACATGTTGATGTAGAAGAGACATGGAGAAGAGGGGACACATGTTGATGTAGAAGAGACATGAAGAAGAGGGGACACATGTTGATGTAGAAGAGACATGAAGAAGAGGGGACACATGTTGATGTAGAAGAGACATGAAGAAGAGGGGACACATGTTGATGTAGAAGAGACATGAAGAAGAGGGGACACATGTTGATGTAGAAGAGACATGAAGAAGAGGGGACACATGTTGATGTAGAAGAGACATGAAGAAGAGGGGACACATGTTGATGTAGAAGAGACATGAAGAAGAGGGGACACATGTTGATGTAGAAGAGACATGAAGAAGAGAGGACACATGTTGATGTAGAAGAGACATGAAGAAGAGGGGACACATGTTGATGTAGAAGAGACATGGAGAAGAGGGGACACATGTTGATGTAGAAGAGACATGAAGAAAAGGGGACACATGTTGATGTAGAAGAGACATGAAGAAGAGGGGACACATGTTGATGGAGAAGAGACATGAAGAAGAGGGGACACATGTTGATGTAGAAGAGACATGAAGAAGAGGGGACACATGTTGATGTAGAAGAGACATGAAGAAGAGGGGACACATGTTGATGTAGAAGAGACATGAAGAAGAGGGGACACATGTTGATGTAGAAGAGACATGAAGAAGAGGGGACACATGTTGATGTAGAAGAGACATGAAGAAGAGGGGACACGTGTTGATGTAGAAGAGACATGAAGAAGAGGGGACACATGTTGATGTAGAGGAGACATGAAGAAGAGGGGACACATGTTGATGTAGAAGAGACATGGAGAAGAGGGGACACATGTTGATGTAGAAGAGACATGAAGAAGAGGGGACACATGCTGATGTAGAAGAGACATGAAGAAGAGGGGACACATGTTGATGTAGAAGAGACATGAAGAAGAGGGGACACATGTTGATGTAGAAGAGACATGAAGAAGAGGGGACACATGTTGATGTAGAAGAGACATGAAGAAGAGGGGACACATGGTGATGTAGAAGAGACATGAAGAAGAGGGGACACATGTTGATGTAGAAGAGACATGAAGAAGAGGGGACACATGTTGATGTAGAAGAGACATGAAGAAGAGGGGACACATGGTGATGTAGAAGAGACATGAAGAAGAGGGGACACATGTTGATGTAGAAGAGACATGAAGAAGAGGGGACACATGTTGATGAAGAAGAGACATGAAGAAGAGGGGACACATGTTGATGTAGAAGAGACATGAAGAAGTGGATTCTTCCTCTAGTTCACCTGGCAGGTCTGTGATGGTGACGGTGGTTCTCGGGTAGCGTCCCAGCTTGGCTCCCTGTCTTGGGTTACTGAGGTCCATCACAAACTGCCGGACCTGCTTTTCGTCTAGAAGGCCGTCTTTCTCGCTGAGCTCCAGCAGGCGGACGGGAACTAATTTCTGGGTCTCATCAGGACCGTAGCTCAGGTCTCCTTCCACGTGGATGTAGTCCTAAAACACACAAGAGAAGAACAGGTAAGGAACATGGGAGGCTGTGGCGCAGTGGGTTAGTGCATTGGTGTTGGGATCAGGGGAGCACAGGTTCAAACCCCACTGCAGTCAGCATGTCGTTGTGTCCCTGAGACACTTCACCCCAAATTGCTCCTGTGGGGATTGTCCACAGTACTGAGTATGTTAGTAACATGTGATGTAATCATAATTTCTCAAAAATGTCTTGGTGTAAGCTATTCCTCAAAACAAATGATGCTTTTTGTTGTGTCAAACTATCATATAATCATTTAAAACATATATTCTTATACTCTGATTGCCTTTTACTCTGTTCAATTGTATTTGTAGTTTTGTATGTGTTTAACAGAGATACACTGAACAAAAATATAAACGCAACACTTTTGTTTTTGCTCCCATTTTTCATGAGATGAACTCAAAGATCTAAAACATTTTCTATAAACACAAAATAACCATTTCTCTCAAATATTGTTCAAAAATCTGAAAGAATCTGTGATAGTGAGCACTTCTCCTTTGCCGAGATAATCCATCCCACCTCACAGGTGTGGCATATCAAGATGCTGATTAGACAGCATGATTATTGCACAGGTGTGCCTTAGGCTGGCCACAATAAAAGGCCACTCTGAAACGTGCAGTTTTGCTTTATTGGGGGGGTCTGGGGGGGTCCGAAAACCAGTCAGTATCTGGTGTGAGGGTTAGGGTTAGGGTTAGGGTAATGTTGTGAATCGAGTGGCCCATGGTGGTGGTGGGGTTATGGTATGGGCAGGCGTATGTTATGGACGACGAACACAGGCCACTCAATTCACAACATTACCCTAACCCTACCCCTAACCCTACTCACACCAGATACTGACTGGTTTTCGGACCCCCCCAGACCCCCCCCAATAAAGCAAAACTGCACGTTTCAGAGTGGCCTTTTATTGTGGCCAGCCTAAGGCACACCTGTGCAATAATCATGCTGTCTAATCAGCATCTTGATATGCCACACCTGTGAGGTGGGATGGATTATCTCGGCAAAGGAGAAGTGCTCACTATCACAGATTCTTTCAGATTTTTGAACAATATTTGAGATAAATGGTTATTTTGTGTTTATAGAAAATGTTTTAGATCTTTGAGTTCATCTCATGAAGAATGGGAGCAAAAACAAAAGTGTTGCGTTTATATTTTTGTTCAGTGTATGTTAAGGATTTACATTTCAGGAAGTGTAAAAGGAAGTAAAAGGTGGATTAAATGGTTAAATACGAGGGGGTTTAATGGTTTCATGATGGGATGTAGGACCAGCTGTTTCCTTTCATGAATATACAGAGAGACTGTAAGCAGAACTTCTTTATCCTCTGAGGATGAAGTTGACACGTAAAGAACATCATGGCGATGCCCCATGGGGCTAAACCAAATAATAATTAACAGTGGCACTGACATTAAACATATCCTAACTGAATTAAGGAGGAGAAAAAGCTTTGACAAATCACAGACTCTACCACGGACCATAATGAGTCTGATTGAACAAAGAAGATCGGACAATGCACTTTCTGCCCTCTGCCCTCTGAAATACCTTCTTTGCGTTTAAGTATGTATTTGTGTATTATGTGCATTTTCCATGTAGTGTTTTGTGTATGTCTATTATGTATTGACAAAACAATTTAAAAGCATTTCTTGGTGATGACACACACCTTATTCTAACAATGCAACATCCCATCCCTGGACACAGAGAGGTAGACATTTCTAATATTGTTTAACGTGCAATAACAAAGTGTTCGTTCCAACTGGCACTGTACTTTTGATAAGAGAATAAACATGTCTATTATGGTAATGATTTGAATGAGTAATAATTGTTAAAGGTCTCCTATTATCCTCTTCTTCATCAGTATATCACAGGTCTCAGATATATCCAGAGCCTGTCTCTGATTGGCTGAAACACCAAACAGATCATTGCAGCATTACCCATAATCCCCTCTGTTTCAGCCCTGTTTCCAAAGTGCTGATTCTCTGTCTGTTACTTTAGATGAAAATAAGGAGCCCCTCCCCACGCCCCTCTGAGAGACATTTGGTTACAAAGAACTCAATGGTGCTCTAGGAGGAGATTCAGGTGGTAAGGGGGGGGGGGGTTACCTTGGTGCTGATGGGCTAATGGTTACACGAGACAAAGAGACATGAAGAAGGGGATTAGGTGAATAGGTGAGCTTTCGTCTTTGAGAGTTATAGTATTTGTCTTCATCAGCGTTGGCTTTTCTCCCTCTTTTCAAAATTCAATTTGTTCTCACTTATCAACTCATTCATTTATAAATGTTTGTATTAGGACAATAAGGACAAACTAAGAAAGCTAACATACCATGTGTAAGGAGTTGCCTGTGATCACGGTGTGTGTCTCTCAGCAGTGGATGATGCTTCTAGAAAGCCTTCGTGTATGCAGGGATGGAGAGCTAAGTGAGCAGCTCACCTTCTTGTCTTTAGCCGTTTGGTCTCGTGTTCGGTAGGTCACTTGCGTTCGTCCGTTCTCGATGATCTCTCGGCTGATCGGGATGTTGGCGACTCCGTCCGACCGGCTGTACGTGTACGCCGGCTGCAGGAAGGAGAAGATGCTGGAGGCTGAGGAAGAGGAAGATATATTGTCAACAAATGATCCGCAGAAATGATCTATAGGGAAACTGCCTCGCTTGGCTCGAGAGCATTTTCTAGACAATTATCTTTATAGATGTCCCATGAGTGTTTTGGCACTGAAACAAGCAGATTAAAATAACATCCATGCTGGAGGCTGCGGACGAGGACGAGGAATAATAATAATAATAATAAATGATATTTATATAGCGCCTTTCAAGGGACCCAAGGTCGCTGTACATGGTGGACAAACAAAACAAATCAACGGGCAAACCAAAGAAATAAATAAAGGAAGCCAGGGGACCAGAAAAGGGCTAGGGCCCGAAGGCCAGGGTGAACAGGTGTGTTTTTAGTGATGATTTGAAGATGTCCAGGGAGGCAGCATTACGGATCTCGGCAGGAAGTGCATTCCAGAGGGTGGGGGCCGCAACACTGAACGCCCTGTCACCAACAGTTCGGAGGCGAGAGCGGGGGATGGAGAGCAGGCCCGTGTCTGAGGACCGCAGACTCCGAGAAGGGGTGTAGGGATGGAGGAGGTCCGATAAGTACTGGGGGGCGAGGGTATGGAGGGACTTGTACGTGAGGATGAGTGTTTTGTATTGAATCCGGGACCAGCCAATGTAGGTGGATGAGGGTGGGGGTGATATGGTGCCATTACATTACATTGCATTTAGCTGACGCTTTTATCCAAAGCGACTTACAATAAGTGCGTTCGACCAGGAAGACACAACCTTGACGAAAACAGAATCATAAAGTACATCAGGTTTCATAGAGCCAAACATTTCAAGTGCTTGGTGTGGGTGAGAAGCCTGGCGGCAGAGTTCTGGACGTATTGGAGGAAGAGGAAGAGGAAGAGGAAGAGGAAGAGGAGGATATCGTCAGAGGTGGGAAGTAGTGGAGTACAAATACTTCGTTACTGTACTTAAGTACATGTTTCTGGTATCAGTACTTTACTCCACTACTTATTATTCTGGCGACTTTTTACTTTGACTCCTTACATTTTTAACAACGGCAAAATGACCAAATGTTCATAGGTCAATACAATGACGTGTTTACAGACTCTCCTTGCACTATTTTAACCATTTTATCTGTTTATTGTGTTGCTCTGTTGGAGGAGCGTCAGATTGTCATTGGTAACTCTACACTGTAGCTACAGTATGTACAAATGATGATAAAAGCCTTGAAATCTTGAACATGTAGATTAGTGATTCACGAACGATCCGAATCTTTTGAACGGCTCTTTGGCACGAAGGAAGGGAACCGAGTCGTACTTGTCACGGTCTGTCTGTGTTTTGTCTGTCTCTGGTTTCCTGTTTTATTTTTGAAAAGTGTTCACCCCCTGTCTCTGTGTTTGCCCTCCTGTGTCTGATTGGAAGCTGATTCCACAAATGTGGAGCTTGATAACAGTTTGTGTTCTGGCGGCAGACACCCTATCCGTGTTTTAGAGTGCGCTTAAGACCTTCCTTTTTGATAAAGCTTATAGTGATAAAATAAAATAATCTAATCTAGAGTGCATTGACGTAGATACGTTGTGCCTCTTCACCTATACATTTTAGTTCTTACTCTTTCACTTAAATCCTAAAAACTTAGATCTTATATTTAAAACGTTATCCAAAGCTTTCCCCTCTATGACCTCTCAAGGTTTATTAGAGGGGAACAGGTTGCAGAGAAGGCCCGGCCGGGGAGTGTGGAACGTAGTCACTGACCCACTCCTACCTCTGACAAATTCAGGTTCCAGTGGGGACCTCTCTCCCTGCGTGTGCCTCTCCACCTCTGTTTCCTACTTCTTACTTGCTACCCTTTCCCCTCAACCTATCCTAAGGGAGTGCCTGTATGTAGACACGTTAGTTTAGCTGCTATAGGCTTGGACTGTTGAGGGGGGCACCTTACTCTGTCTTTCTGGCTGTCTGTACCTGTGTACTCTCATGTTCCGATTAACCCAGTTTCCCCCAAATCTCTTTTTTGTGTCCATATATACATCGGGATCCTGAGTCGAGGCTGATCATGTTGCTGTGGTCGTGTGTCCTGGATCCTCTATCCTGAGCACTGGATCTGAGTCCTGGACTTCGAGTCGTGGCTGAACCTGTCTCTGCGGTCCTGCCAGACTCTCACCATACTACTTCCCTGATGGCTCCCACAGGATTGCTGACATCCTCGTGGATTCATCTTCTTATTATAGACACATGCATTTCCAAACATTTGGACTACCTATGTTGTAAATGTATTATCTTTTCAATTTACAAACGGCATCTATTGCACGTCTGTCCGTCCTGGGAGAGGGATCCCTCCTCTGTTGCTCTCCCTGAGGTTTCTCCCATGTTCCCTTTAAACTGTGGGTTTTCTCTGGAAGTGTTTCCTTGTACGATGTGAGGGTCTAAGGATAGAGGGTCTGAGGACAGAGGGTCTAAGGACAGAGGGTCTAAGGACAGAGGGTCTAAGGATAGAGGGTCTGAGGACAGAGGGTCTAAGGACAGAGGGTCAAAGGACAGAGGGTCTAAGGACAGAGGGTCTGAGGACAGAGGGTCTAAGGACAGAGGGTCTAAGGACAGAGGGTCAGAGGACAGAGGGTCTGAGGACAGAGGGTCTAAGGACAGAGGGTCTAAGGACAGAGGGACTAAGGATAGAGGGTGTCGTATTGTCATACTGATATTCTGTACAAACTGTGAAGACCACTGAGATAAATGTAACATCTGTGATATTGGGCTATAAATAAACATTGATTGTCTGATTGTGTTCACCTGTTGCCCTTGTGTTTCTGCCTCCCCTGCCCAGCTGTGTCTTGTCCTGTGATTACCCCTCTCTGTATTTAGTCTTGTCTTTCCCTGTGTTCCCCTGTCGGTTCATTGTTTGTCTTTCCTGTCTCCCTCCATGTCAGTCAGTTTTTCAGGTATGTTTCTTCCTTGTGCTACCATTGTGATCATGTCATGTTTTTTTAATAAAGCTCGCTTTTTGTTTATAGACCTTTTTTACCTTTTTGTAGGCTGCATTTGGGTCCTACCTTTTCCCCAAACCTGACAGTACTTGGGGAGAGCCGTGCTTTTTATCGTTGGTTCACTGCCTGCCACTAATCCACTCGCCTTTACGTGAACAGTGAAAAAGCTTGATTTTGTTGCCCAACCGTATTCCGTGAAGACCCGCCCCTACTCCGATCGGCTCGGTTTAGCACGAGGGGTGAGATGTGAAAACGCAGCAGCATTTGGATGCACTTCAACAAAAACATAGGCAATGATAAAGCGTGAGTGCAACATTTGTAAAGCCAAAATATCATTTAAAGCAGGGTCAACAAATAATCTCCAGCGCCACTTAAAAACCCGTCTCTTTTGAACGGCTCTCGGAACGGAGCCATAAGACTCCTTCAGAGAGCCTGACTCCCATCAGATTGATATATCCTCATTCAGCCTACAGAACCAGACGTATGATTAGTGTCTTTAGTCACCGTGCTCTTTGATGATGGTGATGTTGACCAGGCGCTTCCCGATCCCAGCGATGCCCAGCGGGACGTCCACGGCCTCCACCAGCAGCTGCTTCTTATCATCGTCTTCATCTTTGACGAAGAGCGGCACGTGGACGTCTATAGACTCCACGCCTTCCTGAAACTCCACGGCTCCCACAGCCTCTGCAGAGGAGCGGTGGATAATACGACATTTAGTAAATCAGTTCAAAGTACATTTGCTCTAGTATTGCACTTAATTACTATTTTACTTTACTCGAGTACTCCCAGAAACCTGCCGGTCCGCTGCGACTCTGACTTATTTTAAATCCAGGCTGAAGACTTTGCTTTTTGCCTCTGCTTTTAATGGAACTATTCACATCTCACACGGCACTGTAACTTTTATTGTTTTATTGTGTTTCCGCTATATAAAAACCTGTCTGAAAATGAGCTGATCAGATTTTGTCCCTTTGTGATGTCATAATGTTTCTTTGGGATGTTTTACTATAAGCCAATCACCAACCAAGGTAAATCAATTCAGGCCATTCTGATTGGCTCACCTTTGACGAACTGCAATATTAAAATGACGTGCACTGCAAGTGTTTATTTGTATTATTTGTTGGTGATAAAAACTGAATATTAATCTACCATAATGTAATTCTACGACAAAAGCCAATTAGCATACCGACTTTTTTCTATTTTTGATCGTTTAAGTACATTTTTGGGATAATTCTTCAGTACTTTTAATGAAGTAACATCTTAATGCATAGTTTTAAAGGAGTATTTAAGACCATAGTGTTTCCTTATTTTACAAAAGAACGGGATTTAAGAACTTCTGGATTTAAATCTAGAATAATAATCAGAAATACCGTATATTATATTATGCAGTAAACGCTCACCTCTGTCTGTGGCCACGGTGTAATATCCCGGCACGACTTTGAGGTCGTTCACGTTTCCAGACTGCACGTTTTTCTCTGTGAGTTTGACGATATCGGGGAAAGTGCTGCGAGGAGCGGTGAGGACGGTGTCCATGATGGCGTACTCCTGCCTGAAAACACAAAACGTTAGACGTAAATACAAGACCTTAAATCGAGAAGAAACTTCAATATTCTATTCATTTTATGTAAAAATTAGAATGTTACCTTTTTCCAGCATTTCTCTGCATCCTGTAAGAACCAAAGTAAGTGAGAATTACATTTCCATTTAGAAAATATGAAGAATACCATATTTTCCAATGTTGGACAGGCCAAAAACCATTCCAACATGCTTGAGCTGCACAATAAGTAATTCTCTTTTTACTCGCCTCCCATAAAAACCTTGAAATTGCAATTAATTCAGAAGGAATGGTTTTCATGAGGGTCTAAGGACAGAGGGTCTAAGGACAGAGGGTCTAAGAACAGAGGGTCTAAGGACAGAGGGTCTGAGGACAGAGGGTCTGAGGACAGAGGGTCTAAGGACAGAGGGTCTGAGGACAGAGGGTCTAAGGACAGAGGGTCTAAGGACAGAGGGTCTGAGGACAGAGGGTCTAAGGACAGAGGGTCTAAGGACAGAGGGTCTAAGGACAGAGGGTCTAAGAACAGAGGGTCTGAGGACAGAGGGTCTGAGGAGAGAGGGTCTAAGGACAGAGGGTCTAAGGACAGAGGGTCTGAGGACAGAGGGTCTGAGGACAGAGGGTCTGAGGACAGAGGGTCTAAGGACAGAGGGTCTGAGGACAGAGGGTCTGAGGACAGAGGGTCTGAGGACAGAGGGTCTGAGGACAGAGGGTCTGAGGACAGAGGGTCTAAGGACAGAGGGTCTAAGGACAGAGGGTCTGAGGACAGAGGGTCTAAGGACAGAGGGTCTAATGACAGAGGGTCTAAGGACAGAGGGTCTAAGGATAGAGGGTCTAAGAACAGAGGGTCTAAGGACAGAGGATCTGAGGACAGAGGGTCTAAGGACAGAGGGTCTAAGGACAGAGGGTCTAAGAACAGAGGGTCTGAGGACAGAGGGTCTGAGGACGGAGGGTCTGAGGACAGAGGGTCTGAGGACAGAGGGTCTGAGGACAGAGGGTCTAAGGACAGAGGATCTAAGAACAGAGGGTCTAATGACAGAGGGTCTGAGGACAGAGGGTCTAAGGACAGAGGGTCTGAGGACAGAGGGTCTAAGGACAGAGGGTCTGAGGACAGAGGGTCTAAGGACAGAGGGTCTGAGGACAGAGGGTCTGAGGACAGAGGGTCTAAGGACAGAGGGTCTGAGGACAGAGGGTCTAAGGACAGAGGGTCTGAGGACAGAGGGTCTGAGGACAGAGGGTCTAAGGACAGAGGGTCTAAGAACAGAGGGTCTAAGGACAGAGGGTCTGGGGACAGAGGGTCTGAGGACAGAGGGTATAAGGACAGAGGGTCTGAGGACAGAGGGTCTAAGGACAGAGGGTCTGAGGACAGAGGGTCTGAGGACAGAGGGTCTAAGGACAGAGGGTCTAAGGACAGAGGGTCTAAGAACAGAGAGTCTGAGGAGAGAGGGTCTAAGGACAGAGGGTCTAAGGACAGAGGGTCTAAGGACAGCGGGTCTAAGAACAGAGGGTCTGAGGACAGAGGGTCTGAGGACAGAGGGTCTGAGGACAGAGGGTCTAAGGACAGAGGGTCTAAGGACAGAGGGTCTGAGGACAGAGGGTCTAAGGACAGAGGGTCTAAGGACAGAGGGTCTAAGGACAGAGGGTCTAAGAACAGAGGGTCTGAGGACAGAGGGTCTGAGGACAGAGGGTCTGAGGACAGAGGGTCTGAGGACAGAGGGTCTAAGGACAGAGGGTCTAATGACAGAGGGTCTAAGGACAGAGGGTCTAAGGACAGAGGGTCTGAGGACAGAGGATCTGAGGACAGAGGGTCTAAGGACAGAGGGTCTAAGGACAGAGGGTCTAAGAACAGAGGGTCTAAGGACAGAGGGTCTGAGGACGGAGGGTCTGAGGACAGAGGGTCTAAGGACAGAGGGTCTGAGGACAGAGGGTCTAAGAACAGAGGGTCTAAGGACAGAGGGTCTGAGGACAGAGGGTCTAAGGACAGAGGGTCTGAGGACAGAGGGTCTAAGGACAGAGAATCTAAGAACAGAGGGTCTGAGGACAGAGGGTCTGAGGACAGAGGGTCTAAGGACAGAGGGTCTAAGGACAGAGGGTCTGAGGACAGAGGGTCTGAGGACAGAGGGTCTGAGGACAGAGGGTCTAAGGACAGAGGGTATAAGGACAGAGGGTCTGAGGACAGAGGGTCTGAGGACAGAGGGTCTGAGGACAGAGGGTCTGAGGACAGAGGGTCTAAGGACAGAGGGTCTGAGGACAGAGGGTCTAAGGACAGAGGGTCTAAGGACAGAGTGTCTAAGGACAGAGGGTCTAAGAATTTATGCTCACTGCTTCATAAAGACAGGACTTTTAAACCCTGCAAATCCTTTCATTTACCTCAGTTGTGATCCTTTATCCACCATGAAGTCTTGTTAGAAGCACACAAGAATTCAAAGTAACACACAGAGAAAAAAAATACAGATCATGACATTTTGGTGAAGTATTCCTTTGACTCGTCTCACCTGAACGAGGTTTTCTGGACCTTCTGGGCTCCGGGAACCTGCTTGTAAACCTCGTTGAGCTGGATGTAAAAAAGCAGATAAGAGTTTTCAGTGACACAGTCATCCGTCACACACTCCTATGTTCACTGATAAAAACAATGACACACTCACGTTATCGGACACTTCTTTGCGGAGCTGTTCGGCGTCTCTGGAATCGGTGCGTGAAAGGTTCTCTGAGAACAGTCTGTTTAACCGGAGGGAGATCGGGTGCTGGACTACAGGGAGGGAGAGAGACCAAGAAAAAACCCATTAAAGTTCCAGAAACCCAGAAATGAGTCAGCATTTCATCACTTCCTGTCCCCTGGTCTGGAACTCAATGGTTTTCTGAATGTCTTTTTGGTTGTTATCCTGAAATAATGTCTACGCCAAAATTAGCCACTTTTAGCTTAGCGGTGGTGACGTGAAGTCATGTGACCGTGCTGTAGTTCCTTTATTGCCCAACATTAGCCTCCTTTAGCTTAGCCGTGGTGACGTGAAGTCATGTGACCGTGCTGTAGTTCCTTTATAGCCCAACATTAGCCTCCTTTAGCTTAGCGGTGGTGACGTGAAGTCATGTGACCGTGCTGTAGTTCCTTTATAGCCAAACATTAGCCACCTTTAGCTTAGCGGTGGTGACGTGAAGTCATGTGACCGTGCTGTAGTTCCTTTATAGCCAAACATTTGCCACCTTTAGCTTAGCGGAGGTGACGTGAAGTCATGTGACCGTGCTGTAGTTCCTTTATAGCCCAACATTAGCCACCTTTAGCTTAGCGGTGGTGACGTGAAGTCATGTGACCGTGCTGTAGTTCCTTTATAGCCAAACATTAGCCACCTTTAGCTTAGCGGAGGTGACGTGAAGTCATGTGACCGTGCTGTAGTTCCTTTATAGCCCAACATTAGCCACCTTTAGCTTAGCGGTGGTGACGTGAAGTCATGTGACCGTGCTGTAGTTCCTTTATAGCCAAACATTAGCCACCTTTAGCTTAGCGGAGGTGACGTGAAGTCATGTGACCGTGCTGTAGTTCCTTTATAGCCCAACATTAGCCACCTTTAGCTTAGCGGTGGTGACGTGACGTCATGTGAGCGTGCTGTAGTTCCTTTATAGCCCAACATTAGCCTCCTTTAGCTTAGCGGTGGTGTTGGAAGTCATGTGACCGTGCTGTAGTTCCTTTATAGCCCAACACTAGCCACCTTTAGCTTAGCGGTGGTGACGTGACGTCATGTGAGCGTGCTGTAGTTCCTTTATAGCCCAACATTAGCCACCTTTAGCTTAGCGGTGGTGTTGGAAGTCATGTGACCGTGCTGTAGTTCCTTTATAGCCTAACATTAGCTTTTTATTTCATGAAATGCTGTTAATATGTGGAGATTATCCTGCTGAACAAAACCTGTAAGCATCATAAATCCTTAAACTCTTGAAATACTCACTGATCTCTTTGGGGTTTGGTTTTATCAGAGCCTGCGGGTGGTTTGGAGGTCGGTGCACGTTGTCGGTGATTTTCCAGCGGACGACGTCGGTTCCTTTTGGCGGGCCGGTCCTCACCATCGGGGTGTCGAGGTGATCCGAGGTGAGCAGAGACTGACGCAGCAAATACTCGTCTTCCTTAAAGCCCACCATGCGACCTGCAGAGAACAAGACGGAGATTCGTTCATAGCGATTACATCCATCATTTGCACGACGTCTTCTTGTTTTTGCATGTTCTGATTGCATTTAAAGCCAATATTTGTGCACAGTGTCAAATTAAGAGGGAGCTACGATGATATTATAACTATTTAACTACTTGTTGATTCAAATGCAACGACTTGTTTTGAATCTTATTTAAAATAACCTTAACGTTTAATAAAACAAACCTCTTACCTTTCCTGCAGCAGGGCAGCAGCGCGAGGCAGCTCTGCAACAGGAGGAGACAGAAGGCATCATTTACACTGATGTATCTGGTATGTATTGGTGTAAATGTGTGTGTGTGTGTGTGTGTGTGTGTGTGTGTGTGTGTGTGTGTGTGTGTGTGTGTGTGTGTGTGTGTGTGTGTGTACCGCGCAGCAGGCTTTGCAGCAGGCGCAGTATTTCCAGCAGCAGAGCAGCAGGAGGGCGAGGAGCAGCAGGAGGAAGAGGAGCAGAGGGAGCAGCCAGAGGAGGCTCGCAGCGGGGCAATCTGCAGGAAACAGGGAGATGTTTTTTATTTATTTATTTTTAAACCTTTTATTTTTATTTTTTATATTGCCATTTTTTTATCCAATAAATCCTCTAGATATCTTTTTACTTATTTTTCCTTATAGCTTTGTGAAGCACCTTGAGATGACGTTTGTCTTTAAAGTGTGCTATTCTTTCACACACAGTGACGTCACGAGCTACCCACAATGCAACGCGCGCCATATATATATATATATATAAATACGCCATTTTCCTGGAGGTGCAAATATAAACAGCTAGCTAACTAGCAAGGCAGAGCGCACTAGGTTTTCTTTCTGAATTAACGACCGAAGAAATCGCTGCATGTCTTCGGATCACATCTCTGGACTTGAGGGGTGTGCTCTAGGTCGTTACCAGCGTAAACTAGAGCTGTGTGGGTTGTCGGATTGCCCTTACAGACTGCCTGCAGATGTATGGAAAAACGACCCTCGAAAGTGGCCTTCGTCGATTTTGGCTGCATCTACGTCTATCTTCTGGAAACACCAGGTGAATACCCCACTTGTCACAATAATATTATCATGCCATTGCATATATGTGGTATTTTAGAGTTGACTAGATATTGATTAAGGCAATAGACTATGATATTCTGCTTGCACCTCGTGTGAAATGGCGGATACCGGAAGTACGGTGTCGCCCTCGGCCCAAAACCCGTATGTGTGTGTGAAAGAATATAAATGAAATGTATTGTTATTATAAAGTTACGTTGAATTCACACAGAGTTGCATCTATTATTTAGCCGTTCATAACGTTGAGGTTTTATTGTCAATTAAATGGAAATATTTCTGCAGTGCATTTCACAGGAAATTGTGCGTCCATATAAGACCTCGTTATTGTTATTAGTCAATCAGATAGTTTCCTTCATTGCTCGTTGTAAGTAGAAACCCGTGAGCATTTGAATAAACCTAGACGTGTGCAGGACGCAGCTCACCTCTCTTCTCGAGCACCTGGACCTCCAGGCCTTTCACTTTTGGGTCTTCTGAGTTTTCCAGGGTGTATTGATACGTACAATCATCATCTTCGTCGCGGAAACTGCAATGTTCCAGCACCTTCCCCGCTGGAACACACCCATATCAGAAATATGTTATTTATCCCTGTGATTGGATTTCTTAACAGTTTCTCAATTTTAAGAGTAAAAGAAAAATAATTCAACTTTTTCTTAGAACTGACAGTTCTTCTCGAAATGTTGAATTTTTCTCAGAATTTGATTTCAAATATTTATATAAAATGTTCACATCGTTTACCGTCTTTGAGTTCGTCCACCAGCGTGATCTTAAAGGGGCACGTGTCACACTTCTCTTTGTCTTTCTTTTCTCCCGTTTTCCACGCCTGACACTGAATGCAACTCCTCGTACCCTCGCACGCACCCGCCAGGGCCTGCACAGGACCACAATTAAAATATTAAAATATATAAGAAACATTTGTAGAAATGCTTTTATGCGATGCTTAACAATTAAATAAGAACAATACGAGAAAACAAGAAGAAAAAAATAAGATTAAAAATAAGAATGTGGGAGAATAGTTGTTAGTGCTATTATCACTGATGCAGATGTCAAATAATGTTTAATAAAGTGTAAAGCACACACACCCCCCCCCCCCCCCACACACACACACATACCATGTGTCACTTCAGGGGACATTACATTGACTTACATGCATTTCCTGGAGACTTATCCTAACCTTAACCAGAACCAACACATGCCTAACCCTAACCCTTACCCTTACCCTAACCCTAAACATAACCCTAACCCTAAACCTAACCCTAACCCTAACCCTAAACCCTCATGGGGACCTCCAATTTGTCCCCATAAGGGAGGCGAGTCCCCACACGTGACTGTGTAAACAGATTTAGGTCCCCACAAGTATAGTAATGCTAGGCCACACACACACACACACACACACACACACACACACACACGCATACACACACACACACACACCCACACACACACACACACACACACACACACACACACACACACACACACACACACACACACACACACACACATACACGAAAGGTAGAAACTGCCTTGGAATGAACACACTTTGGGTCATAATTAAATATACGTGTTAATAAATAAAATCCACACACCTGGAAATTTGGCTCACAGGTTGCAGTCAATTCGATTCCAGATTCGGGACACACGCAGAGGCCACACACACATTCACCTCGCCCGTTACACACACCCTGTTACAAATAAAGACGGGTGAATAGGGTAAACAAATGAACTTACAGATATCAGCGTGAAACTTGGCCATCTCAGTTCTGACATTAACACAATATTTCTTTGTATTACAAGTTTTCTGAAATTGTATGTTTAAACATGCAAATGAGGCATACTGTTAGCAAATATGCGTAATTTGCATATTATCCGGAACATAGATCTGTGTGCAACTATAAAGATGTTGAAGATATGCAAGAAATATTTGAGGGGGGGCTTTCTGAGCCACCTGTCCATGTGGTTATAAAGTAAGAAGTCTGCAACTGAAATACCAGATTAGCCTTAAATCACACGACAGGTGAATAGGGTTTAAACATACAGATATCGCCATGAAACTTCCCAACCTCATTACTCACATTAAGAAAGTTATTTTCTATATTACAAGTTTTCCGACAAATTGGGCGTTATGTAATGCTAGCTTTAGGTGAATTAATGAGAAATCTGCAGACGTAAAATACAAAGTTAGTCAATAAACAACAACAAGTTGATTTTGGATGTTTTCGATCCACTAGTCTGACAGAAGACATGTTATGGAAGCTAACTTGCAAAACTGATCAGTGCATGACGATGATTTTGCATGTAGTATCTCGCCTTAATGTGGACCGAGATTAAAACAATCGTTTTTTGTATTACGTCTTGTGTTAAAATATGCAAATGAATACTTTTCTAACAGCAACTTTTGCCAAATGTAGCAAAACAATTGGGATTTTGGTCTTTTTTCTTTTTACTTTTCGGAAAAAATACATTTAAAAAAACTAATTACATGTTTTCCTGTAGTGTATCACGTTAATCTGAAAACAGAAGTCTTTGTATACTCACTCCCTTTGAGTCCTGACAGGTGTCGGTGCTTTTGGGACATTCGCAGGCTTTCCCCTTCCATCCTTTAGCGCAGGCACAGCCACCCATAACACAGGAGCCATGGTCTAGAGAGAGAGGACACCAAGAGGGTTACAATGTCAGAAGTGTGTGTGTGAAAATATTAGTAGTAAAGTCTAAAAAACATAAATGACTTCATAGAAAGGAAAACATTAGAAAAGACAGCATGGTTTTCACTTTTGGTGGACATTTCATTCACTCTAAAACGACTTCAAAAGTTGTCGATTATTTTGCTGTTAATCCACCACTTTGAAAATCTGCAGCTCAAATCTACAGGAGAGTAAATACATGTTCATAGAGACCCCATGCACACCCCATCATTAACCCTCATTTGAACATGGAGAAAGCTGGTACCGTTGCACAGGAATCCTTGGTGGCGCTGACACTGGGTTTTGTCATACTGGCAGAACGGCCCCTCAAACTGGTCGGGGTTGTAGCAAACACAGATGCCACAGGCCAAACAATCCCCCCGATCAGAGCAGGGCTCCTTCATCCCCGGAGCGATGCACTGGCTGCTGTCTTCGGCTGAAGTGCTGGCCGAGCAGTTACAGAACGTACCCAACCTGAAGGAGAAACACAACGCAATATCTCAGGGACGCCGTGAGGGAGAGTCTTCAAATGTGGTGCAGATGTTCATTTGGACTAAAGGATGAGCTGATTACAATTTGAAGGTTCAATGAGAATGTGATCTTATTTTATTCCCATTTCCGTGGATGGGATATTGCAGGAACGAGGCGTTAACTCTAGTTTAATTCTTTATATAATAAAATAATAATAAATAATTAAAGACTCACCAGCCGATAGAGCAGTGACACTTCCCACACACCAGGTTTCCATTTTTATGACAAATGTCTGCTTTAGGGAGGATAGTCTGGAGGAACGAGAAAACTGAAATGAATACCATGAAGACGTGAGAAAAAGCAGCTTGGTCATTTAAGATGGACTTTTATTAATCCCTCGTGGGGAAATTGTTCCTCTGCATTTGACCCATCCTGTGTTAGGAGCAGTGTGCTGCCATTTTGAACAGCGCCCGGGGAGCAGTGTACTGAACGGTGCCTTGCTCAGGGACACCTCGTGGCACTTGGTCTTGCCGGGACTTGAACTGGTGACCTTCCAGTTGCCAAGCCAAGTCCCTATCGACTTTGCCACCACTGTCTCGTGCTTTTGGTGCGTTTAAGTGACAGGTGATACTTTCATTCTTGAATAATCCAACTATTATTATCTAAATTAAAACAAAAGTCTATAAATGGTTGAAAAAATGCAAAGGTTATGTGTTGTTTGTCAATTGTGTATAAAACAGAGAAAACTCCGTATTTAAAGCAAAAACAACTGAATTTTCTACAATTTTTGCTTTAAAGACGAACCTAAGTTCACTTATCCAAAGACAAAGGAGACATTAGGATGAATCCACCATGAAGCAATGTGAAAAAAAGCAGCTTTAACTCGTGTGTTTAAGTGTTATAAAGTGTGTGTACCTTCTCACAGTCGCAGGTCGGACACAGAATGGAGGCTTTAATGTTTACGCCGGCATTGAAGGTTGTTGGTTTGACTCTCATTTCCCCCTCTTTGTCGGCCTCATTAGACTCACAGACCGGATTGTCATCGAGCATTCGGTGGGCTTTGACTCGTAACTTGAAATTTCCCTGGAACACACACACACACACAAACACACACACACACACACACATCACACACATACACACACACACACACACACACACACGCACACAACACACACACACACACCCACAACACACACATACACAACACACACCCACACACACACACACACATATACACACACACACACACACATATACACCACACACATACACACACACACACACACATACACACACACGCACACAAACACACACACAAACACACACACACACATTAGAAAGACAATGTTGGAATTCTTGCCACCCTATGATTACTAAGTGAACAGTTGAGAACGAATCTTGCAGATTTGAGGGAACATATATCGGCATATCTTCAAAGCCAACACTATTTTTGAAGAATACCTTTAGAGGAGAAAAGTAAAATCCCACTGTTACCTTGATTAACGTACACAAAATATAGGTCCAAACATTGTTTTAAGACATTTCGATATTGAAATTGATAGAAAATTGTGCGATGTGTTGCTGCAAACCTTAATGAATGTGCTGAATTCATGTGTGGGTTTTTTACGTCTGTTCTTCTGCTTACTATTTTTCCAGGTTTGAAATTAAAGGCTCCGAATTTTTTTACGACATTCTCTTCGTCCAGGAACTCCGTCTCGAAAGCCTTCGGTTTGTTCGCTGCACGGATGCTCATCTTAGACCGGATGTTCTGTAAGAGTCAGAGGATAAACCAATCAGAAGATGCGCAGAGTGCCAACGCCTCCACCTTTGAACACTTGCTGTACCTTGAAGGCGGTTTCCATGATTTGCAGCATATTGGACGAGTCCTCTGTGAGCCGACCGACCTCAGCGATGGGGAAATACTCTTTGAGTTTCTGCACAAAGGACAACAAAATAAGTCCATGATCTAAAACTCAACAGTCTGTCTTCAGAACCTAATGATCCGCTCCAGAGTTCTTCTTTGGCCAATTCTACATCTGGCCCACAGAAGAAAGCAATCAAACTGAAAACTATCCTTCTTGTTAGAGATAGTAATAATAAAACAACCAATCAGGAGGCATTAACCCTGCCACTATACCATTCTTCTTCAGAACGTAGCTTTTAGAAAATAAAATATGGTATTTTTAATAGTGTTTTTCAACTCCATTTCCATTTACCTCCATTCTATTGGGGGGCAGGGAGATTAGGGGATTTATACATCAAAACAAGAGGAACATAATTGTCTAAAACCTACAAAAAACAACCCCATTGGTGTAAAAAAAAAGCAGTGCTGGAAGTGTTTTGGGCTGTGATACTTTATGATAAAAAACATTCAATCATACAAACAAATATACATTAAAAAAACATTCAAGATGCAATAAAATCAATAACCAAACTATACAGAAATCCGTTAAAACTGACAAAATAAACTGTGCAAATTGATGATCCATTAACCTCCATTTTATTGGGGTGCAATATAACAAAACAAGAGCCCCATAGTTCTCTAGAACCTGCTAAAAAACAACGCAATACGTGGAGGGAACCTAGTACCTCGTAGTAGGTGTAGGAGTGTTCTGTGACGGCGAAGACGGGGATGATGTTGTGATCTCCCAACACACGGATCAACGTGGGAATGGACGGATAATCCTGGTGAATGTCCTGTGTGTATTTGTGTTCAGCGTTGAGGTGGCATTGCTCGTCGTTTCGCTTCAAGATCCCCGACAGGACGTTCATGCCGTCGGTCTCGTAGTGGAAGGCCGACTCGGTGGAGAACACCAGCAGGTGAGTGCTGTGGTCGCGCCAGCCGATCTGGTCCTGAAAGCAGAAAACCAGTAAAGAGGTGTTAGAGAACTCTCCCTGGTCCCCGGCTTGAGCTTCAACCTCAGGATCCATGTGTCTGTGATCCTCTCCAGAATGGAAGGAGTCATCACATACAGAGACTAGTTCCTGAACAGTGTCCTTCACATGCTGATATCCAAGAGAGGGAGTTACACAGTCACAAGATGGAGGAATAGAAAGCAGTATTCAATGTTTACTTCAGATTAGCTCCACGTCAGAAATGAGCATGCTTGATGTCTCTCTCCATAGAGGCTGAATCATCATGTTAATCACATAGCTATCATCTGCCTCAAACAGTCCTGATGCTCTTCTAGGTCATCACACATCCTGTCATGTTCACAGCTACAGTTGGGATACCTTTGTTAGCATGCTACTCTCATGTTGGAAGAGGACACTCAGGATTTTCCCAACAACAGGAAAAAGGGAGTGTTTGTTAGAAGAGATTACGGATATTAAAAGATGCAGGTATTTTTGGTTATTGATTTTTCTTTGTTAACAAGATTCTTAAAACCGCAATTCTTTTTTTGGGGCCACTTGGGGGTAGAAGAAACAAAACAGAAACATATATATATTTATATTATCACCTTTTGAAAAACAGTTTCTCAATTTGTGTGTTTTTGGAGTAATTTGTTTGTCTTTCTGTCTTTCTGTAAATGTACCTCCAATTCCTAAAGGTATCATTTTTGTCTCTCTGTGGAATTTGAGGTCGTTTTGTGTGTCTTTGCAGTCATGTATTGTCTTTCTGTAGTTATGTGTGTCTCCTTGTAGTCAATGTGTGTCTCCTTGTAGTCAATGTGTGTCTCCTTGTAGTCAATGTGTGTCTCCTTGTAGTTATGTGTGTCTCCTTGTAGTCAATGTGTGTCTCCTTGTAGTCAATGTGTGTCTCCTTGTAGTCAATGTGTGTCTCCTTGTAGTCAATGTGTGTCTCCTTGTAGTTATGTGTGTCTCCTTGTAGTCAATGTGTGTCTCCTTGTAGTCAATGTGTGTCTCCTTGTAGTCAATGTGTGTCTCCTTGTAGTCAATGTGTGTCTCCTTGTAGTCAATGTGTGTCTCCTTGTAGTCAATGTGTGTCTATTTGCAGCCCTTTTATGTCTCTTTGTACTTTTTTTTGCGATTCTTTGCAGGATTTATTTCTTTGTGGTAGTTTTGTTTTGGTGATTCAACCCAGTCTCACGGCATTTCGTGTTATAGTCACAAAATGTATCTATTGATTCGTGTTCACCAACACGATTTCGCAATTGTTTTCTTGTCAAAAAAACTCAGACATTATACAATTCAAAATAAAAGGGATAGGGTTAGGGTTTGATATTGAGTAAGAAAATGTTTTTATGAACCCCACAGCTTCCGGTCTTCCAAGACCCGACCGGACAAAGAGACGTGCTGCTCCACGAAACACACTACCATATAAATACATTGCTTTTAAAATCGTTCTGTGTGACACGAAAAAAAGGGGGGGAATCGCGTTGGTGAACACGAATCAATAGATTAATTATTTGTGACTATAAAACGAAATGCCGTGAGACTGGGTTGGGTGATTTGATCTCTCTCTTGTTATTTGTGTGTCTCTTTGTGGTCTCTTTTCCCTGCAACCCCATTCCGTAATCATGCCATGATTGGATATATCTAATTGAGAAAATGTGTGTTTTACTTCATTAGTAATAAATTGTGTTTATCTTTTCCCTGTAAAGTAATACAGTAGTATTAACAGAGAATACACCTTCCAGTCTCTGTTTTTGGAGAGAGGTAGCCTATGCATTTTTTGGGCAAATGTATTCAGAGCAACATGTGTTTTGTATTGAGTTTTCTGACTAACCTTACAAACTGCTGCCTGCAGTATGGCATCAAAACCTCCTTCGGGAGCGTCCAGGTTTCCAGAAATCCTCTCATCCTGGAGCTCATTGTTGAAGAACGTTACGTTATGCGTTAGCTTGATGACGTTTTGGAAAGAGAACGGAGGGTCGCTGTTCGGCCATGGCTTTGCGAGTCTGAGAAGAAGGAAATTAGCCCATTAAGATTGAACTACCATTTGTTTAGAGTGCTGTAGAGATGTCGTATTTCTGTGTTGGACCTTGAAGGGCAGCATCTCCCTGGTTCAATGGGATTTTTCCATTGGATTTTGGTTTATTGCAGAAAATAATCTTACGCAGCGTCCACACGGCGGCGTACGTTGAAGCTTGCCGGCGGGCATGTTTGACGCTCTACCAACAACCAATGACATGAATCTCCCGCCCCGGACACACAAGCATGCGGTTTGATTGGCTAGAGCTTGTACTGGCATATGATTTGATTGGCTGACGCTTCCGTCGAAGCTTCAAAAGTTGAACATTGCTCAACTTTTGAAGCGACGCGAGCAAAGCGACGCGAGCAAAGCGACGCGAGCAAAGCGACGCGAGCAAAGCGACGCTCCCACAATGCAGTTTGGCAAAGTGTGACATCACCCCATTCAAAGTGAATGGGCAGAAGCGTTGAAGCTTCAACGCAACGCCGCCGTGTGGACGGGCCGTTAACGTTTATGATATTTACACGTTTAGGTTCATCAGGATAATCTCCACATATTAACAACACTTTATGATTACTGAAGTAAAAAGCTAATGTTGGGCTATAAAGGAACTACAGCACGGTCACATGACTTCACGTCACCACCGCTAAGCTAAAGGAGGCTAATGTTGGGCTATAAAGGAACTACAGCACGGTCACATGACTTCACGTCACCACCGCTAGCTAAAGGTGGCTAATGTTGGGCTATAAAGGAACTACAGCACGGTCACATGACTTCCCGTCACCACCGCTAAGCTAAAGGAGGCTATGTTGGGCTATAAAGGAACTACAGCACGGTCACATGACTTCACGTCACCACCGCTAAGCTAAAGGAGGCTAATGTTTGGGCTATAAAAGAACTACAGCACGGTCACATGACTTCACGTCACCACCGCTAAGCTAAAGGAGGCTAATGTTGGGCTATAAAGGGAACTACAGCACGGTCACATGACTTCACGTCACCACCGCTAAGCTAAAGGAGGCTAATGTTGGGCTATAAAGGAACTACAGCACGGTCACATGACTTCACGTCACCACCGCTAAGCTAAAGGAGGCTAATGTTGGGCTATAAAGGAACTACAAGCACGGTCACATGACTTCACGTCACCACCGCTAAGCTAAAGGCGACTAATGTTGGGCTATAAAGGAACTACAGCACGGTCACATACTTCACGTCACCACCGCTAAGGCTAAGGTGGCTAATGTTGGGCGTGATGACGTTTAGTCGTCTCATTTAGACACTTGTTTTTATTCCCCAGTGGGGTATCTACTGACAGATTTTATGCCCCTTTTTAAGGCTTCTAACAGAAACACATAAAAAAAAACGTTGACTTCGAGACAGGGAACAGGAAGTCCTAAAATGATGACTCCTCTCAGGGTTTCAGGGGCCTCATGTATAACGCCGTGCGTAGGATTCAAGTGGGAATGTTGCTTACTAGTAGAAATCCAAAAAATAGTTACAGAAATGTTCCGACATTTTCCGATTCACAAAACATTGCGTACCGGCGAGGAAAGTGCGTACAGGACTTCCTACGCCGGTTTCCCTTTATAAATAACAATCGACTCGAAATGCGGTGCAGCTTTTGCGGGCTTCACGTAACGCCCATATTTGCCTATAAATAGTCAAAGAAACGCCCATTCATTCATTTTGACTGACTTTATGAAGGAGATCGCAGGAATGACGACAGAACAGCTAAAAAAGACATCTCACACCGTGTCAGATTTGGGTTATTTTAGGGAGGTCGAGATAAATCATATTGTTTGGTGGATGCAGTTTGAACCAGAGTAGCAGCATGGAGGTCGGATCGTCATCAAACTAAATAAATAAGTGGTCTGAAAAAGGTTAATGACAAAAACAATACACATAGCCTTCCTCAGGCAGTGTGTTTGTACCGGGGACAGGAGACCCCCCCTTGATGAGAAACTGTAAGAAGTGATCGGGGAATCCCTCCGGAGTGGAGTCATGACGACTGGATCTGAATTATGTTTTCGTATTTGGTGGTTTGTGCCCCAGCTGTCGATCAGCTGTGCGCAGCGTCTCCACTGCAGCAACCCTATATCCACCAGTTTAAAGGAAATACAACTAATGTGTTGTGTTATATTAGCTGTACAATTTACCACATATGGTGTTCTTAGTTTCCATACCTCCTGTGTTTTACGAGCGACTTATCAAGTCTTAGCAAACGGCATAAAACATGATTAAACGTGATAGTATATAAAACCATGCTCGTACAACCTATAGAAATGCAAAACCGCATCCTTTATGAGAAAACATTTCATAACATTAACACAACATATTCGAGGTGGTTTTAAATAACATATCCGTATTTATTTATTTCTCCAGGTTATGTGTTTGTGTGCACTGAGGAGTCTCAAACAGGCGTTTGTTAAATCATTTTAAGATTGGCTTTAATCAATGTTTGAAAATGAATTCTTCATATATGATAAATGAGAGGTAACATTTTATTGATGGTATTATTTCCACATATTTCTCTCCATTCTTCCTTCTGCCAACGGTGTCGCAGTTTCTCGTCTCTCCCGTTATTGTGCTTAGTGCGGTACGCATGGGTTAGAGTTTGCGTGGAGGACCGCACATTTTCCCGTCAAGTTAGTATTTTATAAATCGCAAACATTGCGTAGAAACTGGCGTACGCCATTTTTTGAGCGTATATCCCTTTATAAAATTAGGCCCCAGGGACTCATTCCTGCATTGTTTTTATGCCTAAATTAGTTCAAGTCAGATTTGTTTCCTTACTTCTCAGGCCTCATGTCCGTCTGCGGCTCGATCACTTTGTCCACAAACTTCCCAAACCCAATGGTGAAGTTATCCGACAGAGTATGAACCGACTGAGCTACAGAAGGAAAAACACCATCAGTATTACAGTTTCCCGTCATCAAAACATGTTTACACAGGTGGGGAAAGTATTCAGATTCTTAATAACACACTGTAAAAATACTACATTTCAAGTTTAAGTACAGTATCGAGAATGGTACTTACAAGTATTGAAGTACCATTTGGAAAATGTATGTAAAGCATTCAGAGTAAAAGTACTCCATCGTCAGATTTAATAAGCTCAAACTCCAACAATTAATAATTCCAATTAACTTTCTGTTAACCCACTCGTGGTTTGAGCTACTTAAATATAATGTTGATTATATAATATACGTCATTTATATAATGTTTAAGTGTGAACATCTGAATGTATGAAGTAACTAGTAAATAAATCTGTGTAAAAAAGTACAACATTGGCTTCCAAAATGTAGAAGAGAAAACATAGTATAAAATGAAAATACATGTACCTCAAAAGTGTACTTCAGCATAGTACTTGAGTAAATGTACTTTCCATCACCAACATGCTCACCCAGCTTTTCGCCCATTTTCTTCAAGCTGTCCAAATCGTCCGCCATGGAGTTGGAGAAGTCCATGAGGATGTAGAGATCCAGAGGACCTTTCGTCGGAGCGAACACCTCCACCTCCACCGTCTTCTCCTCTCCGGGCAGAAAGCTCATGGTCATCATCTGAGGAGAGACCTGAGACTGAGAGAGCGCCATGTTGATCTTCTTGTTCTGAGGAGAGACAAAGGGAACCGTCAGGATTTATACGCTTTGTGTTGTTTTATATGTAATATTATTATTATTGATAATGTTCTATAATAACGTGCACTTACGTATCTGCTACTACGTTTTTTTGCACTACTCAATACTGCTCGTCACTGTACAGTATTTTACGTTAATGATGTGACCGTCTGTAGATATTGAATTGCTCTTTTTACTGCACTGTTAGTGTACAGTTGTATTATTATGCTGCTGTGTTTATTGTATCTTTGTAACTCTGGAACAACCATTTCAATTACAACATGGTTTGCAGGTGTTGATGAGGACATATTTCACAAGAAGAGAGAGAGTTATGATTACATATTTTAACAAGGACTTTAAAAATGGAGGAATGATTGTTAGAAGACTTACCTTTTCTATCTTCATGTCGCTGAAGGTCATTATCGCCGCCCCAGCGCTGCAGCCGTGAGCGATTATATTGGCGTGCAGATCACAGCGAGGGCCGTTAAACATCTGAGGAAAGAAGGAGGG